AAGTTCTGTATTTTTGTGTGTATGTCTGTTGGTAACGCACGTATGTCCTTATTTCTCAGTGTCACGAAAAGGACAAGAGCACCTTGATAATGAAAATGTCAACCCAAATAAAGTGTTAAATGGTAAGGTTGAGGTAGTACTTTAAATGCCTTTAACCATCGTGGGAGGTAACTTTCAACTATAGGCCTTAGGGCTATGCCTCATAGATTTGTTTTGGCTTGAAACTGTCAGATACTGTATTTGCGAAGGTTTATATATAATAGTTTTGCCAGCATATCTCAAAATATGCAAACCAACTGCTTTTCTTAATATCAGAAGGTTTCAACTGACTACTTTAAGATCCCCGTGCGTAGAACGGGCACACAGCTAGTATCATATAAATAAGTTGCACACAGGGTTCTTTTGTTTCCCCAACTCTAAAATACAACGCACATGAATTGAAAATGTTATAGGTTTAATAGTACTGTAGCGAATCAAATATCAATAAAGTTAACGTATAACAATAAATTTACATATTCCTAGATTATAATGGAATGTGTTTACGAAGGAACACCACAACCTCAAAATTCAACATTACAGTATATTTACTCAAGATTTATTGTTTTCATATAGCACAGTTGACGTTGCCAACTCGCGTGGGAGCGGAAGTCCTGATAAAGGCTGGTTCTCGGAAAAGTAATAAAATTGTAGTTTGAATGAAACATTTTTTTATTTTGTACAGGATTCTTGGGATCCTCAGCATCAAGTACAAACTGCAAAATGTGTGTCGAAGGTCTGATTAGACCTTCCAAGATTTAGACCTTCAGCAACTGATCCGTTTTTTACCTTCCTTTAATTTATTCTTTTTCATGTTGTGCTTCATGTAACATACATAGACTAGAGGGCCGCTCATGCCCTTGACAAATAAATTAACATTTTCGCACTAATACAAATCAATATCGTCATTAGACAAAAATTAAAACATAAAATTTATAAACAAAACCTACCACGGCATATTCTTGAACAAGAGAACAAGTATGCCTACAAACCTACGATAAGCATGTTTGTTATTATTATACTCAACCTACAAATGCTATGACTTAGGGCATACCTGTTTTCCTACATAAAACATGCGAACTAATTGCGAGTGCGACGTGAACTTAGAAAAAGACTAGTAAGAATTTACAACTGTGAATTTCTCAGAATTGATTGACAGTTCAGATGAACCTATGGCCACAGACTACGGAAACCTACAGTATTATTGTATTAGTATACTGTATTTGTATTATTGTGTTACTAGCAGAGTACCCGTCCTTCGTACGGGGTTGACATATAAGTATAAATGCTTATTGCAGTTATGGAAGAGGACACGATAAAAAAAAAAACTGGTCTCTTAATTTATACGGTATCCTATTGTGTAGCACACATCTACCATAGTCCTGATGTTCTTGCACCTAGACCATGGAAAAAGTAAAGTTCTCATTGTGTACCACAACTTTTTTTTGCTAGTTGGTTCAAATTAGCTGTGGTCATTAATGCAAACAAACAACATAATAGTGCTGCACCCTGTTTGGCAAGCCTTATAACTTTTTAATGCTGTTTAATGTCATAGAACCAACTTGTACAGTTGAAACGGCTGACAAAATTCTTTATTTTTTTAAATATGAATTCTCATAAGGTTAACTAGAGAAAGTCCAGAGCCAGAGCCACCGGGGCGGAGACTGAAAGAATTTTTGAGGTAAGAATATGTTAATCGGGGATGTCATCTATCATCATACCAAATTTCAACCTTGTCGGTTTAGTATTTTTCGCGTTTGCTTGTCACAAACATCCATCCATCCATCCATACATCCATGGTTTGCACTGTAAACAAAAAGCTATCACAATAGTTCCATACCGACAAATAGGAAAAATAGGAAAATATAAATAAATATGGAAAAAGGTTAATTTTCTAACATATTTTAGTGAAATTATATAATCAGGCAAATGAAAATTCAGTCTACAGATTTGCTGTGGCAGGGGGATTATATTACGGTTTACACAAAAATAAATCAAAACATAAACCTCATAACACTCAGGAAAAGGGCCTAGGTTGATAGGGCAATGATTATAGAATCTTAATTATTTCCTATATCCATGATGAATGATTTCTTTTAAAACGAATTATTCCCACTGTTTCACAGGAAACATTTTTAACCATTGTAGTAACATCATTATAGCTTAAAAAGTTGATAGTTTACTTAATATTTAGCACATTTGACGGATAAAACTTTTTTGAATTCGTCATATTATAAGTGTATGAAAATTCATATATCTGTGTATCAATATCTACTTATCTCATTTCTGTTCAATGGAAGTTATACAATTTCAATGATACCGGTACTTAAATGAACAGTCTTACAGCTGTTATAAAACTGTGCATACATTTTATCTTACCAGTAAATTTGCTACCAATTGATATAGTATGACAATTCTATTCTACTGCAGTACTTAGAATTCTACCACTACTCACATTAAACCAACCATATTTACTTTTGGGCTAGTGATTAATTTATTGTATTAATCATACAATATAGTGAATAGTGTAGGTAGTAATTTATTTATTTCGTTTCTATGACATAGCTCTATTTTGTAGAAATCTATATAAATAAAATTAGAGTTTTGTCTGTACATTGCTTAGAATAATGAACTTTTTGGTTATTTTTACATTTCATAGGTCAGAGAAACCGAATCAAACCTTATCTCAATTTCTGTCTGTCTGTCTGTCTGTCTGTCTGTCTGTCTATCTGTCATTCTCTTGGTAACGCTAAAATACGCACTTTATTACAACTACTCCTCAATAACTATAGCACTGTCCCGCCTGAAACTTATTTTCCAAATACTATACATATATGAGATGGTTTTAGACGTATTTCATCGAATATGAGACAGTTAGATATTTAACAGTAAACCCTTGAAAATCAAGTTTTTGTCGATTTTTGACGTGGAATTTCTGGAAGCCCATGTTAACCTTATGAGAAATGAAATTATTGAATCTTAACAGCTGTTTCAATTAAACAAGTTGGTTCTGTTCTGTGATGTTCAATAGCATTAAAGTTACAAGGATTACCAACAGGGTGCAGCACTAGCACTATTATTTCTTTTACATTTATGACAACAGCTAATTTGCAACCTGGAGGCGAGTGAGCGTAGCGAACGAGCTAACCTGAAGGCAAGTGAGCGTAGCGAACGAGCTAACCTGAAGGAAAGTGAGCGCAGCGAACGAGCTCCAACATACAGGTGAGTGAGCGTAGCGAACGAACTTCAACCAGGACGTGATTGAGCCATGCAAACGAGATCAGATAGTAAAAATAAAAGTAAGCCTACCGTTATAGGATCGACCGGCAGACACAGAGGTAATTTAACCTTTTATTGATTGTCATACCGATCCGGAACAACAAAAAACAACATAAAATGAAGCTATGTATAATAGTTTGGCCAGCATATCTTAAAATATGCAAACCAACTGCTGTTCTTTATATAAGAAGGTTTCAACTGAATATTATAAGATCCCCGTGCGTAGAACGGGTACACAGCTAGTCAATTATGCAATCATAACAACAGAAATACTGCATCATTACATTTTACGGAGAAGTGTTATGAACTAGTATTTATTTTACATATAAAAAATTTAAGCTAATGCAATAATTAGTTCAATTAGAACCATTGAATATTGAATAATTTTAACATTAATCGAAGACGAAGCGGTTGACAACTTTCAAACAGTTGACTAGGACTAGTTGCCTTCAATAATTGCAATGCGAACTGTATGCACTGAGGTCGGCAAACAGTGTTCACAGTGTGCAGGCACTTTGGACGTCGTGGCACTTGGACGTCGTGCAACAGTCAAATATTGATTGGACGTCGTGGCACTTGGACGTCGTGCAACTGGCAGAGGCTTTGGACGTGGTGCAAATGATACGTCTTTACAATTATATAGTGCGCTGTTTCACGACGTCCAAGTGCCACGACGTCCAAAGCTTGTAGAAAGACTATATTTTTGGCAGTTACTGTACTTTTGGACGTCGTGGCACTTGGACGTCGTGCAACAACTCAAAAATTATGTTTTGGACGTCGTGGCACTGGAAAAATATTATTGGACGTCGTGGCACTTGGACGTCGTGCAACACTCCCTTCAGTAACAATAGATTTCATCAAAAAATAATAGGCTATATACAAAGTCTATAAAGTCTAAATCTAGATAATTGTTTATGAATTTAACATAAAAAATCATCTATCGTACATTGGATTGATTTTACACCACTTTAACAGTTTGTCAGAGAATACATTTAAAGGCAAAGAGCTGAAATCAAGAGGAAACTTAGCCTATTATAAATATTTTAAGACCCAAGTAGGTATGATGATTCTGAGTTCTTGGCAGCCTCACTCTATCTAAATATAATGTAGGCCCTACCTCTATTTCTTGTTTGGACATTTTATTTCTAATTACATATTTGTGATAGATTTTTTTTTTTTTTAAATAGACACTTCTTATTTGTAATACCGAACTACGATCCATCTGTATACTTATACAGTAAGGGTTTTCCCTGTAACATTACGCACTTGCCTCAAATCAACAAAAAATGGGAGCAGGTACACACCCCTCCTTAATTTTTTTACAATTTTGGTTGATGGACACAAAATACAAATTTGACTGAAAAGTACAATTAAAAATGTACCAATAATATTATTTAAAAGTTACTAAAAAAACTTTTTTAATGTTAAAAAGACTTTTACAATCTCTACCTAAGTTATTAGTAAAACTTTCTTTTAAAATATGCTAAAAACTGAAACCACTCTATGGATGTATATCTTTATAATAAAGTATGATAATAAAGGAAGCTTTTGATGCAAATCCTGCTACTGTAGAGCAAATAATAAGCAATGCTGAGCCAGGTTATGCATTTACCCCAATTATGCTCTTAACCCCACCTCACCTTTAAGGTAGCTTATTTGTAATTCCCATTCTATTGCATCTGCAGGAAACTTTGGCCAACTTGGAACGCCAAATCTATGCGTTTGAAGGCAGTTATCTTGAAGATACCCAGTTGTATGGAAACATCATCAGGGGCTGGGACCGATACCTGGTATCAAATAAGAACACTAACAGTAAAGCCGATAAGAGAAACAGAAAATTCAAAGAAGCTGAAAGACTCTTCTCAAAATCTTCTATAACATCGAATGCTGTAAGTGTATTCGACAATTAGACTTTAGAGTTTTACTTAATAATGAATCTCACTGCATTTAAAAATTGTTTTACAAAGGTAGGCCTACCTAACTTAGTTTTATTAATTTATTTTGATCTAGATGTGGCTGCAACTTGCATAGCATATTCATGAACACTTACACAGTCACAGTTTATCGTACATTTCCTGATAGCCTTTTATCTTAACAGGTTCAGTGCGGGCTACATTTATTGATGTAGTGCGTCACAAGCGCTCCTATCGGCCTACTTTTATAGATGTAGTCGGGCAACTCCCACTACATGAGCTCAGCCATTGCCGGGGAACGTTATAATCATTACCAGCCTGTAGCTTAGAATGCGAGCTTTATTTTGGTGTATGTTGGTACCTACTAAAATTTCCCGTAAAATCCCGTATGGCAATGCTTTTGTCCCGGTATCAGGAATTTTCTCTCTTCGAGCCACATTAAAGGCACTGGCTACGGATCCAGGCAGTGCTGCTACCTCTTAGTGTTTCAGGGAACTACGTCCACACTCTCTCGGGGTAACGCATCACAATTACCGCTGCTCTTTTGTTATTCGTTAGACTGGAATATTTGAATGCCAATTGCGTTCACTGATTTGGCGGCGCACCGGGGCTTTGCCCGGGCCTCGATGCCATTGGTGAGCGCCTGTTTGAATTTATGCCGCACTGAACGTGTTAAAACCATTACAGTAGGCCTACAGTAGACTTTCTCCTTTGTGAACACCTTTTAACCAGATATCGGTTTAACTGGACTATGCAGGGCCACAAGTACAGCTCATGACATCTAAGCTGGCACTTAGCCTAGCGCGGGCAGTGTAGGCGGGAGGACGGTGGAGGTAGGAAAAAGACCGGACTGCAAACATTTCCGCTGCCTCACGGGGTTGACTCCCCTTGTATTATGTACTTGAGCGCCTACATATGAGTCGCGAAGACAGTTGATGCAGCCCGCATGACGGAACATTAATGTTTTTTAACTAGATACTAGTAGCGATCGGCCAAGTGCCTGCTTAGATGGCAAGTACATCTCTTAACCAAGCAACTTTTATCACATATGTTTAACCGGACTGGATCCGCAGTAAGTGGGCCACTAAAACAACTTTTCTTGTGGGAAAGATTTGAGACCACAGATCATAAATCTAAATACAATGATCTCCCAAATTTAAGTAAAATAATCCTATTTGGGTTAGTTTTTGAGTGATTCTTTGGACTGGTCCGGATAAGGGGTAGTCCACTATATATAGTTTTATTAAGCATTTTGTAATGTGCTTGGCAACTTTCTGTTGAGAAACTTCATCAGGTTTATTTCTGTTTACAGGCTGTTAGCGGGCTTGTGGAACCATCAGAAAAAGGTAAATTGTCATTTGATTTTTTATTATTTTGTTAACACTCCATAAAAAGAATAATTCAAAAGTACCTTTTGTAATCACCAACCGTTTTGTGATTGAGGTTTGAATGATGGCATATTTACATGGAGTATATATTCATATGAAAATTTCCCTCTTGGTGTTTGTAAGTGTTATTACCTGTATACAAGTGAGTAACTGATTAATATCCTCGAGCAATGTTTAGGGGAACCCAACAGCGAGAGCGAGTCACAGACTGGTAACAGTGGAAGTGAAGACAACGTACTGCCTTTGGGACCTGCAAAAGACACTGGGAAAAACAACACTACGCCATCTGTCAACGGACCTATGACACCTAACTCTATGAACATTGTACCAGGCTCGCCAACTTCAAGCAAAGAGGTAAGCACTGATTCAAACGTTATAGGGGGTAGCTTTTCAATAGTGCACATGTTAATTTTCTGCAATTTTCCAAATATGGTGTGTATCAAATCAATGTTTCTCAATTATGATCCAGTGGAACTTTTGATAATTCAGACACCAAGGGGCCAATACCAAAATTCGAATTAGATAATTTTTGTAGTAAATGGATTGTAAGTGAAAAAGTCAAAGATTCATTTAGATTACTGTACTACATACCCAACACATACTCAATAAATCTTAAGCGTTATTAAAAGCTAGGTTTTTTAGAAGACTAATAAATACTAGTAGATTGATTTGGCTTTATGATGACAGTTACTTATTTTGCAAGCACAAACAAAATTAATTTCAAGTTAGGTTTACTCTTGTTATTTTGACATAGGTCATGTTATAGGTAGTTATTAGAACTTACTCTTACACTTACTCTCAGGGCCATGCATATCTAAGAAGATATTTGGCCGCACCAACAAAGCCTCTCCATCTTGCTCTATCCTCTGCATCCTCCTCAGTTGCTCCTAGTTGCTCCATGTCTTTCTTTACTTGGCTCAACCATTTTTGTTTTGGCCTTCCTCTCGGTCGTCTTCCTTCAGGATTTCTTAGTAAAACTAATTTTAACTTATTTTGCTCCTCTCTTCGTAAAACATGTCCAGCCCATCTAACTCTTCTACACTTAAATTCACACACCACATCTGGATCTCTGTAGAGTTCTCTCAGTTCTCTGTTGTGTCTCTTCCTCCATTCACCACCTTCATAATATGGTCCATAGATTTTTCTTAAAATCTTATTTTCGAATGTGATTATTATTAGTAGTTATTAGAAAGGACAAATTAAAGAAGTTTTGAGTGAAGGAAGTTCAAATTGAATTGGGAAAATTGCACAATTTATTGACTTTGTACATTTATTGACGTATTTCTTTTGTGTTTTTACTATTTAAGTGACACAACAATATATTTTATAGTTTATTATTTTAGTTTATAAGCCTTTTAATGAAGATGGACTCCCCAATACCAAATTGTTATCAGCACTTATATGATTTACTGTTATTGAAATAAACAATGGTTGGGAGGGAGAAAGGGGCTATATATAATTGTAAATATTACTTTTATTGCTATTTAACATTTTTAAAGTGAAAAACAGTGTCTCGGAGACATAAAACGGAGTATTTTTGTCACGGTGCCCACAAACGTCATTGCGCGGGGCGGCCCGGTTTTGGACGCCATTTTTGTTGAGAAAAACTGCTCAAAACACAATTTCCAACCTGGATCCTCACTTCTAGCAACAAAAAATAAGATTTTATGTAAGGTAAACAAAATGTTCAGGCCCTGGGGAAGGGCCCATTGATATATTTACCACACTCAATGTGTTAATGGAAATTAATATGTTTCTGTTTAGAAATTAGAGTCAATGTTATGCATTGCTTTTTGATTTTAATAACTTGAGAATTGTGAGATTATAATTTAGAATTGGATTGCTGAATTGATGCATATTAATGTAAATTTTATAATTCTCATTAGTGTTAAGTTACCCTACTATGAATTTTATCACTCTCTACTTTACGATTTATTTTTATTAGGCTAAAAACAAGATGCCTGTTTCTAAGAAGACGCCAACCAACAAGAAGGCCAGGCAACGATAAACGTCCAGGGATCAAGACTGAAAAGTTATCAACATTGTAGAGAGTTTGATGGAACAAATGTTGTAATGTATTTTGTCTTAGTTATTATTTATATATTTTTAGGAGAAAACCAGTATTCTTTGAGATGACAATTATTGCTTCTATTGCATTGATGTTATAAGTGTTTAATGTCTTTTATTTATTTTACAGCTTTTTAAATCATTTAAAATATACAACTGCAGTATTGTTTTATTTACAGGTATACAGTATGAAATAATTCTGTTTTGTCTTACATTGTGGTGCTTACCTTCTACGCCTTAATGATTTGACTTAATGCTGGATGGATATGTGTTCTAATTACATTTTGGAAATTGTAGAAATATTTGTACTTATTAAAGTAGTTTGATTCGATTTTTAGAGAAACATATTTAATTCAGATTTAAAATATAGTTTTTTATATGTGATATTTAACTTTTAAATGTAGGTCTCGTAGTAATAATTAGTTGTCATTTTTGTAAAGCTGTGATGAAATATACAACAGTGTTTAAAATAATTATGGTTTCTATCCTCCTCCTTTTTAATTTTGTATGTTTGGGCTTTTAGAATTTACATGGAATCATTAGATGTGCACAACAATAGCTGTTTGTCTCATTAAAGATAAATTCCCTACCCAGATACATCCCTGTTGCAGAAAACCTGGGTGTCGACGAATTCCAAATTTTTTGCTTCTTTAAAATGTTTGAAGTTCATATCAAAGGGACTTTACGCTTAGGTACACACTCAGTATGAATCACATTGTCTCAAAGGGTAAACAAGTACTTTAGTTTGCTGCTAAAAGCAACACAAAGCTGTTGATTTTACCAAGTTTTACAAAAATGTTAAATGACAAACCTATCATGAAATTATTTTAAATAAAGTAACAAAATAAAACAGTCAACTTCAATAATAAATTTCAACAATAAATAAGAGCCAGTCTTAACCAGTTACAAAATAACTATTTGGGTTTGAAACTAATAACTGACTATGCCTATTGCCTAGTACGACAATTGTCCCTACTAAAACCTTTAATATCTATTTTGAATATTTAAACGTTAAGTCACATCGTGGTCCACTAGAAATTTAGTTCTTGATCATTCTCTTCTCCGGTCGTTTTTATTTTTCTCCTTCAATTTACTTCTCTGAGGAGGTCTTCATCTATAACTTGGATGCTCTTTGTCACTTCCTTCTTCTTTTCAAAATTGTGAATAAATTATATTGCTTTTCTTCTTTCCTCTTCCACCAACTTCACTGTCACTATCACACTGGTTGTTCTGTTTTTAATAGGGATGGACAAGACTCCAAATTTCAGAAGTTTTCTGGAAATTTTAAATCTTGTTTCACGAGACGAGATTATATAAAAAAAACAGTTAAAAAGCGCCTGCAGAAAGTCAACGCAATACAGGAATGTGTTGTTGTTGCGTTTCCTTTGCGAAGGCTTTCTTATTTAATTAATTCTTTACATGTAAATATTTCTTTAATTGTTTTATAATTTTTTGTTTTGATAATGACATTGCAAATGATGAGAATATTCCTCATCTTTAAACATACACAATAAACTCCTTGCTAAAAATAGAGATTTTTTTTGTCCTAGGACGCTTCGAACTCAGCTAACAAGAGCACATTTTACTTGCTATACTCACAGCTAGTCATACAGAAGTGAAGTCAATCATCTCCAGTTCTTGGTCTTCAGCCTTTTTGACATTAGAGCTTTAACATGCATATCTTGTTTCTAATTTAGCTTCCCTGGTTCTTTCTTAATAAGCATTAAGCGTTGAATATAACTCTTGATAATTGGGTAAAGAATTATTATTTATCTATCTATCTATCTATACTATTATAAAAAAGAGGTGGTGTCTGTGTGTATGGGAAAAGTAAACGCGAAAACTACTGGTCGGATCGGGCTGAAATTCGGCATGATGATAGCTCATATTCCCGATTAACATATAGGCATATTTTTATCCCAAAAATCCTTCCGGGCTCCGCCCCAGTGGCTCTGGAGCAAAGGTTCCCATGTTAACCTTATGAGAAATGGAATGAATGAATCTTAACAGCTGTTTCAATTAAACAAGTTGGTTCTGTTCTATGATTTTCAATAGCATTAAAGTTACAAGGATTACCAACAGGGTGCAGCACTAGCATTATTTCTTTTACATTTATGACAACAGCTAATTTGCAACCAAAAGGTGAGTGAGCGTAGCGACGAACTTCAACCTGGAGGCGAGTGAGCGTAGCGAACGAGCTAACCTGAAGGCAAGTGAGCGTAGCGAACGAGCTAACCTGAAGGAAAGTGAGCGCAGCGAACGAGCTCCAACCTAAAGGTGAGTGAGCGTAGCGAACGAACTTCAAAAAGAACCGAAATTTCTTAAACCATGTCCTCACTCATAACTGCTATAAGCATTTGATACTTATATGCCAACCCCGTACGAAGGACGGGTACTCTGCTAGTACTATTATAAAAAAGAGGTGGTTGCTGTATGTGTGTATGGGAAAAGTAAACTCGAAAAATACTGGTCGGATTGGGCTGAAATTTGGCATGATGATAGCTCACATTCCCGATTGACATATAGGCATATTCTTATTTCAAAAATCCTTTCGGGCTCCGCCCCAGTGGCTCCGGAGTTTCCCATGTTAACCTTATGAGAAATGGAATTATTGAATCTTAACAGCTGTTTCAATTAAACAAGTTGGTTCTGTTCTATGATGTTCAATAGCATTAAAGTTACAAGGATTACCAACAGGGTGCAGCACTATTATTTCTTTTACATTTATGACAACAGCTAATTTGCAACCAAAAGGTGAGTGAGCGTAGCGAACGAACTTCAACCTGGAGGCGAGTTAGCGTAGCGAACGAGCTAACCTGAAGGCAAGTGAGCGCAGCGAACGAGCTCCAACCTAAAGGTGAGTGAGCGTAGCGAACGAGCTCCAACCTAAAGGTGAGTGAGCGTAGGGTTCCCAGGGACCCTCCATCAAAAAAGAGGACAAAATTACTCACCAAGGGTGGTCCTAGACCTATATTTTGGGGGGTCACCGGGGGGCCTGGGGGGTATGGAATACCCCCCAGCAAAGAAAATTTTGGAAATAACGTGCTAAAATTAGTACTTTTTAAGCTATTTTGAGGACCTAGTTTAACGTGTTCAAGCTTCCCAGTTTATTTTTTAAAGGTCAAGAAATGTTAAAAAATAAACTTGTACTCGTATAATGTCATGTTTTTTTTTTATATTATTGAGACTTGTGGTTTTAATATCAAAGGAATACCGCAACATTACAACACATTCAAGCATGTTTGATTTACAAAAACACCCTGGTGCCAATGTGCATGCTAAACAGAAATTGTCCAAAATCAGACCATGATTTTGAACCAGAGGACTTATTTCATCTAAGAAGTGTTTAAGAACTAGCACCCAACACGACTGCATTATACCTGCCCAGCAAGCAACAGTTAACCTACACAAAGTACACTACCCAACTAACGATGCCGTCGGCGTCCCGTCACTGCTACTGCCTGAAGAGTTGGTTCTCAGTGTTCTAATTTTTTTCTACGCCAGTGGCATTTTACAAGGGGTCAATGTGAGAATAAATTTTTGTGCAACTTTTTTGTGGTTGTGAGTGGTTGTGCCGGGAATTAAATCCGTCCCTTCCGCACCTAAGTCTGAGACACTACCATTTTGTTGTTGTTTTGTGGCTAGCAACATACCAATTGGGTAGTGTTATTCTTAAATATGATATCAGGTGCTCTAAATATGAATGATTTAATATTGAAATTTTAAAAATTTTCAATGGTAATCATTGAGTTACATTACTGTAATAACAAATTCCTATCGCTGAACTCAGATAAATTAATATTCAACTACCCAATTCAAGTTTTAAACCATCTAGGTTAAAATTAATGGTAACATTAAATGCCGAAAAATTAAATAAGAAGAATGCGGCCGAACGTCGAACGCCAGCATCGGACACTGCGTCCGTCGTCTGCCGATCTTCCAGTCTTTTCATAACGTACAAAAAATAGTCAAGACTCAAACGATCCCGAGGTTTGGGTTAGAGTTTGTAATTAGTCCATTCGTTCGCCACAAGTGTAAAGACTACAATGAATTCAATTTGGTAGAACGATTTGCAATAAAAATTATTAAAGTTCCCCTGGTATAATAGTTTAGTAAGACATTATTAAAGTGTAGTATTTTAACTTAGTTTAATGCTATGATGACGATTAATTATAAAAGCTGATTGCTAATATTAATACTTGCAGAAATATTTTTTTATTCTCTCACAAAGTCAAAATCCCGGACATTTGAAAGTATTGCCAAAAATCCCCCCGGACGTTTTTTTTTGTACCCAAAAAGAGGACGTGTCTGGGAAAAAGAGGACGTCTGGGATCCCTAAGTGAGCGTAGCGAACAAACTTCAACCAGGACGTGATTGAGCCATGCGAACGAGATAATCTTGAAAATTAAGAAGTTAAACGGGGCAAAGCCCGCGGGTTACAGCTAGTGATTTAATAAAATACAACATTGATAAGGTAAAATTAACTGGTACTGCCATGTTATTCCTTTGCTCCTGAACTTTCTATACAAATATTTGAGAGTCTGTGTTTGAGAGATTTCAAAATAATTTCTCCAATTTCAAGTTCTACAGGGTTTAAATAGGGGGGGGGGGGTTAAGTTGTTACTAAATACTAAATGTGTACCTAGTTTAGTTGGGATAGAGATTAGTTGAATTCCAATGCCAAGTACTTTTCCTGAAGTCAATTATAGTTAAATATACCAAAGAAAAATGACTCAGTGGAAATTTACTTCTAGTTTAGAAGTAAATGAATGTACAAGTTAGTAATGGTTGTAGCAAGGGAACTCATTACCTCAATTGAGTTCATTGACCCAATGTATCCCAATTGACTTAAATCTCTCGGACCCTCCTGTTGTGAAAAACACTAACAGAACTTGACATTGATCTTGACTGTACATTTGAGACATTAGAAACAGGGCGAAATGTACAATAGGATAAGAATTTAACTTACAGTACCTTAATAAATTTATAAAACCAGTTTTCAGCAAATTTCTAATAAAGGGAATAAACTATTGCTTTGGGTCTCTTAAGACCTAGCCACAGGATCGGTTTACTATTTTTGTTTTGAGGTCTCCAGACGCCAAACATAGGCCTACCATTAGTTCAAATTCATAATGTATTTATGTGTTTTTTGAATCTAGTGAAAATTATCTGATTAGCAGCAAACCTAAGTACTCATTAAAACATAGTTTTATTTAAAAAGAAAATAACTTAAATCTGACATTAAAAAAAATAGTGATAATCAAATCAGGTTAATGTAGTGTTGCTTAGACTGCAGGTTTGCTACGTGGATGTATTTCATTCTAATCGACGATCCATTTTTTATCAGATAAGAAAAAGGTTAGAAAACTACGAGAAATAACGGACTACCTCTTAATGAGTACTGCCTTTTAATGTGTAACAATTATCTCACAGTATGATAAATATATGTGTTTATGGTCATAAATGATTCCGGTGACATCAGTAGTTGGTGGTTGTGCGAACGTAGACTTTGCCTGATGGCATGTTCACTCTGTCCACTCCCTTGGGAAACAGCTTGGGAATGTCTTCATCCTTGACATCCGGTAGGATCATCACCTTCTCTCCCGGCTACAGCATGAACATGATTAAAAATAAATCTTGACAACTGACATAATCATTTCACTGACAGTGTTGTAATTAGGTGTTGACAGTGTGTCACACCAAGCTGAATATGATTTAAAGGTGAAGGTAGAATTAGAATGGAGTATGGAGTGGATGAATTGTGTAGTTTTGTTTATTTGTACTATACTCAGTTCACAAAATTAAGGCGGTTTTAAGAAAAGAAATCTACTCCCTCCACTTGATCCTACCTTTAAAACAATAACTCAACAGCTGAGGTTTTCCAAAATATGTCAATCAGCTGCAAGATGTATTACGTAAAAAAAAGTGGTGGAGGAACTTCTTCTCTTATCGCCTAGATTTTAAACAGACTATAGCTTTGTTGGTGACTTAGGTCAGCTGTTTATCCAAGATCTTTTATGAAAAGCCCAATGTATGTAACAGTTTGGTTTTTTTTTGAACGATCAAACAGCTAAATACTTTTCTCGGTTATTTGAAAAGAAAATTTTCTGTCCAAAAAAAGGGTAACTGCATAAGTAAGTGTGAGATTGTGTTTTAAGAGTTAGGAATGTTGGAAGTTTCAATATAAATTTATTATGAATTGGTTCACGTACCGTATGTATTAAAATAGGAAAACAAACTTGTTACGATAAAACTATACTCCTTCTAAAACTTATCCTGGAATTTATTTGCATGTTTCTCAAAAAGGTGAAGTATGACCGAGTTGTTCTAATATTACTTTGTTTCCAAATATAATTTAAACTGAACACCTTTAAACAATAAAAGACAAAAATTGGGCACCTGAAACAGGTTCTATAGGAACCTTCCTTTCCATATTATTAATAAGGTTCAAAGTTCAACTATGGATTATGTAATATCGATTACCTAAAGTGTTCTTACATAATTAAAAACTTGTACCAACTCCAATGACTCATTGTTGAGTAAACAAGAATCTATAATTAACTTGTTTAAAGCCTTGAGAAAGCCAGGATTAGAATTAGCTAATGTAGGAAGCATGATTTGCATATCTGTGGGTAAAAACTTTTAGTTATTGCTCTCCACATAGTGGCTAGAAAAATTTTAATTGTTGAAAGACTGAATAAATTACCAACCAGACTATATCTTTGTGATGCCACCAAAGCTGGAAAAAACTTGATTTGTCTCTGTTTTGTATATATCCGTATGCAGATTAGAATTAGAATTGCATTTACATGCAAACTGTGTTGGAATATTTAGATTTTCAGCCTTCAACAGGTGTAAGTAATAAATACCATAAGAAAGCCTGATGAAGTCCACAATATTTAAATGACAGTGATGCCATCTAAGACAACAGTTTCTTTAACTCCGCAGCCTACTTGCGTAACGATTTTTTACTTGACACTCCAGTAAAAATATCTGCAGGATTTATTTGAATAAAACCCGGTGAAGGATCACTTGAAATAAACAAATTAAACTCAATCTTATGGAACAGAGCACTTTTGGAAGTAAATTATAATTTCATCCGTTTCAGATTTTTTTAAATATTCAACTAGTCTTGTTGGCGAATACTATGAGGAGTGTGTTCACAGGCATATAAACATTGAGGGGTCAGGGTTCTGACCTGTTACTTTACAAAAATTCCTAACTTACTCCTCCCCCCTCACGTTTGCCCCCCACTCAGCACCATTTGGTGGTCACGTTAATACTAATAATGTTGAAGTTAAGTTCCTCCACTTATCATGTATATGTGGTATTATGTATGGGGATATTTATAGTAAAAAATTAAAAAAAATATCCGCCTAACACTTTCTAGTCAAAGTATCTACTCTATCTTACCGTCCAATTGGCCGGAGTAGCAATGACTTTGAGTTTGTCGCAGAGCTGGAGGGAATCGATAACTCTTAGGATCTCACTGAAACAAAAACAATAATATTTAGGCCTAACTTACACCAGCTTACACCAGAAAAACTGAATGTGAGATCCTTTGTTTCTTTCTCACCACCTCCTTTGATGGTAAAAAACCAATCCTTTCTTGAGTATTGGAAAGTCAAATCTACAAAATTTGTAAATTTCATGAGGCTTCTGAAAATTTCTATTGGCTTCTGAGTCATCAGAATAAATAAACAATTGATGTTACTTGTTAGTTGTTACCAACGGATTGGTCAGTTGCAGTTAACTATTTCAGTTTAAGATTGTTCATTCTTTATTGGGAACATCATCGGTTAATGGCTCGCTTTTATTAGGAACACAATGGACAAGTATATAAACATTTCACTATTTAAAAGAATTACTCTGAACATATTTCTCAATCAAAAAACTGTTTTAAAATTGTTCTCAGGCACATGACCAACAAGAGGTTAGATAGAAATACACATGTTTTCAGTGCTGTTTCTCATACTGATGCTCAAATACATACTCAACATTTCTGCCTGTGGAGGTTGGGTAGGTCATAGCCAGTCGCAGCTTGTGATCAGGACTGATGATGTACAAAGCTCGGACAGTCATAGCCGTGTCAGGGTTGTCCTTGTCTTCTTCGTCCAGCATATCCAACTGGACGGCCAGCTCTCTCTTCTCATCACTGACGATGGCATAGGGAAACTCCCCGGGAATGTCCAGGCAGTATGACTTGATGTCCTGGAAATTGTTTTAGGTTAGATATTAGGGAACTTGAATTAATAGGCTCCTTGTTGATATATTATAGGTTATGGGTTCAATGGCATATTTTATACCAAAGGTACAGTATCAAGTGAGAAACTAAATAAATATAATATATTTAAAAAGAGATCCCCGTTCACCAATCTATATTCAAGCTCTGCTTCACTTGTTTTACGTAGACCATCCAATTCTCCAGGAAAAGCACTACTACTGCACTGATTGACCATATGCTCCACTTTATAATTTAAGACTGTAAAGTTGATGATTGTGTAGTTGACGATGAGTTGTAGTTGATGATGAGTGTAAAGTTGACATGTGAAGTTGATGAAAAGTTGATGATCCTCTAAGTTACTGTCAAAAAACACCAAAGTTAGAATTTATAAGACAGTAATTGGCCCAGTATTATATTATACGGAGCTGAAACATGGAAACCAAATAAAAAAGAAGACAAGAAGTTAATCACATTCGAAAATAAGATTTTAAGAAAAATCTATGGACCAATTTATGAAGGTGGTGAATGGAGGAAGAGACACAACCGAGAACTGAGAGAACTCTACAGAGATCCAGATGTGGTGTGTGAATTTAAGTGTAGAAGAGTTAGATGGGCTGGACATGTTTTACGAAGAGAGGAGCAAAATAAGTTAAAATTAGTTTTACTAAGAAATCCCGAAGGAAGACGACCGAGAGGAAGGCCAAAACAAAAATGGTGGAGCCAAGTAAAGAAAGACATGGAGCATCTAGGAGCAACTGAGGAGGATGCAGAGGATAGAGCAAGATGGAGAGGCTTTGTTGGTGCGGCCAAATATCTTCTTAGATGTGCATGGCCCTGAGAAATGGAAAAAAAAGTTGATGATTGCGCCCCTCTCCACCTACATTGTGGGAGAATTTTCTCTTCCTTGCGAACCCCCAACAAACCTAAAACCTCTTGCGGACCTACCCCACAGCATTGACAATCTGATTTAAAAACTTCAATCTGAAGTATAATGCTTCGTAATACAACTCAGTTAGTTAGTTTATCATGAAAACCATTGAAAAAGAGACTCATACACGGTTCGGGTTCACTGCCTGTCTTTAGAAGAAGAGTTTGACTCTCCAGAAGAATTCTCTGATCCCTTCCTGGACACAGTTGCATGACTTTGTCTGCCAAAGTTTTAATGTTTTTGTAAATAGGCTATAGTCGCTGTGTGAGTGGATGAAATGTTTGTAGGGAATATGGCAATCATGAAAACCACTGAAAAAGAGAAACAAACTGTTCACTGCCTGGCTTTAGAAGAAGAAAATTTTAATTTGTTTGTAAATATTGTTTGCAAGTGGATGAAAAGTTTGTATTGACAAAACTTATCCAGATAAATTTGGTAAAGTATCACTGTTTGATTTAAGGCAATAAAAAAAAATTGTTCTCTAGTACGTACATTGACCCAATCCTTGTGGTCCTGTAGTTTGTCACAAGATAGAGCTAGCAGTTTGGTGTTTCGCTTGACGAAGTGTGGATGATGCACAGCTATGCGGCCAAGTTCCGTGGTACACACGGGTGTGAAGTCTGCAGGGTGGGAAAACAACACCACCCATCTGCAACAAGCAAATTACATTAGTCATTTAGAATTTCTAATACAACATTTTTGATGCTGAAATTGTATTTAAATGTGACAGTTGAAGATCATTAAAAAAATACTAATGCTTTTACTATCGACTCTTGAATACTGAAGCAAAGATCCCAATGGACTATTTGTAGCCATTCAGATTAATCATAGTTGAATAAGATTCTAAAAAAATACTGCTGATATTTTCTCCTTTCTTTGATACTGTGATAGATAATGTGACTCGATGATGTAGAGTACTTGGAGGTATTGGTGTTATATACTGTATCCTGTAATCCTCTTGTATACTCCTCTCTTGTGTACTGTTAATCCTCTGTATACTGTATCCTGTCAATTTTGCGTTGTTAAAAATTTGGTGTATTCAACATAATTCATTCTACAGACTTCAGTGCACTCTGTCGGACGGGCATTAATTGTGCTAACTTACCTGAGCAGGTAGGTTAGGTTAGGTTAAATTAGGTTAGGATTGGTTAGATTAGGATGACATGTAAACAAGGACATTCCTTCTGCCAGCAACTCACCCCTACCTGGCTTGGCCTTGGCGCAACTAAGGAACATTTTTTGGGGCCTTTTGAGGGCTTGGCACAATTAATTCACGACCATAATCTGTCAATCCCTTATTTCAAGATGTCCGTTTATTTCTACAACTAGCTACAGCTTTAACATGGCATGGGATGTCTGGTTCTATAAATATATAGTCAAGGACTTTATAAAGATAAAAATTAAATCACTACCGGTATCTGCAGTATTTTCGAAACCATCAAAGTTATTATTAGAAATTGTCAAAATTGAAAACAAACAAAAAACTATTAAATTAAGTGGGGTTAACTAATCTTTTTCGAACTTGACCTTGCTATCACAAACAAGGATATGTTAAAACAACTTCCATCTGTTAGTTGTTATGTTGCTTTCTCGGAAGAAGTCTTATCTGTTGAGGTTTAATACCCTAGTCTTAAATAAGACATAAATAGTACAGTATAAAATATGTTTTTTTAGGATTTTTGATTAACTCCCTTTGTAATATAAGCAATATTTTCATCACTCCGCATCGAAATGAGCTATTTTCGATAATAGCTGATATCAAAGAAAGTAGATGTTTCCCAAGATCTAATCTAGAGGGAGGGAAAAGCGATCAGCTGATTTTGCACCCTTTAAATTTACTTTCCCTCACTCTTGATTAGTTCTCCATCTACCCACTACGCACGCTGTTAAGGTTTATGTTAATAATTTAAATCAGCTGTTTTCATTGTTGCACAATTTAAATGTGTATAAAGAAACAGGCATTATTTTGTTTTGCTGTGTTTTTACCATAGTCCATGGTTGAGATCGCTCATGTCTAACATTCCTGATGATTTGATGGAAACAACTTCAGAGATAACTTAAAACATTCCACCAAAGGCCTGTAATGGATTAATAGTCTTTTAATCTGTGGTAGTACCCCGAAAGTGGCATTTTCACTGAAGTGTTTGTGTGTGTGACGAAGCCGGATGACGGGAGTAATTGGAGCTAGTGCCGAAAATTACCAGCTATGACTCTTCATCACGCAATAAAGAATAATAGAAACAGATCACAATAAAATTAAAACCATTACTGTGTATTTCGTCAAAATTATTTTTATAACAAAAAAAATTTATAACAAAAAGGTTATAGCAAATCTATACACTGTATAAGTGAAAACAATAGACTCAGCAACAGCAATTAACTGAGTTTGAGATGTTTGTCAGTACTCAATGTCAGTGTTAGTGTGTGTTTTTATTTGTTTAAAAATAGTGATAACAACCAAGCACATTTTGAAGGATTATAAATATGAGGAGTATACATGTTATCTTGGCATTCTTGACATGAAGATGTACTTTTGATCATGACTAAGCAATTAAAAAAAACTTGATTTTAAGGACTTGGACTTAGTTAGGGTAATTAATAAATAACCGTTCTTTCAATAAATAGCTTGTATTGATACCAAACCTTATTATTTTACTTTAAGGCTGTACTCGACAATAATTAATCTAATGGAATTTAACTTTAAATAGGATTTAACTACACACTCTGAAGCCACTCGTTATGTGCAGAGTAAAACATTTTGAATAGGCAAGTCGGTCAACTAACACAATCAAAGATTAATTCAATTTCAATGTCAACTCTGTCCTTTTAAGATTACATAACCCGAAACATCTTAACATTCTACAGGTGAAAAGATGTGCTTTAGCGGCGTGGCGGTCCCTGATTTGGTCGGTATGTGCAGTACAAACTTCCGGTGCGTACATGCACTGCACAATAATGTGTTTCCAATTATTTACGCCATGACATCGGTTGCCGGCAGTCAAAAGAAAGACCACACAACACAATTTCATTAGAGTTACATCATGGTAGTGCACCATATTATAATACTGTGGAATTGGAATAGTCTAGCTTGCACTTGCTTGAAATGGCAGACTTGAATTGTCACATTAGATTCAAACTCGAATCAAGTGTGTAATATTACTCACAACTCCGTGTGACACACTTATTAATTACGCTTACGTTTAGCAATTTTGGCATACAATATTGTATGTACATTTTGAGCTGGTTTTTGTGTCTATAGTTCATGTCCGGTGACACTGATCGCTAATGTCGACGAAATTTTGTTTCTATTGTTTTAGGGTTGATTTTATGATGTGTGCTTTACTGTTATGTAACTAAGGAGCGAGTTATTGTTTACGATACCATCGTTTCATTTGGTTTAACAAGGTTTTAAATGTTGAAATAACAAGAAACAATTTCAATTTGTAAACAAAACATGCCCTAGTGCACCGGACAGAACTAAAATAAATCTTCGGCTGATCCATAAGGATGAGAAATCTATGATACTACATGTAGTTGACACAAACCACAATGCCGCAATAGCAATAGATACGCCAGCAAGTGATTATTCATGTTTGTTTCGCAATCAACGCGTTAGTGATGATAATACAATAAACTTTCAGTAATAAAGCCTCAGACAAGGGAATAAATACTCGTGAGTCACGATCACTCTACGATGAATCTATTATGAATATGATAAACAATTACTGATAAAATACTTGAAACACGCGGGGATTATTCCCGCTCGCTTCGCAACTTACTCTCTGCCGAATCAACAAATTGCACCATTAGATAGGTATATTTGATCGAAAATAGGTCCAAATCAATCAAGAGCCCGTCTCAAACCATAGAAGTATAATTACTTGATTTCATTGTGGTATTGTAATGGTACCATTATAATTTCAATAGTCCAAAGAAGTTCACGTATCTGTTGGGAAAACTCCTAAAGGTCAGTAGTGAAAACACGTCTTCAACTATCACCTGAGCCCTAGAGCCCAGAGGCCATGCACGTACGCTGGCAATAGATACGTTTGACCACATGCTATAATATTTCACATTCCAAAGTATTGACTCTGTGCAATTTCGCAACTTGTTTACTACGTAACTGTTAGAAGCCTTCCTGGTCTAAAATGATAAAAATAGGTTTGTTTCATGTTCGGTTGTTTGGTTTGGACGTTTTTCGACGGTTACATATTAATATTCAGAGACAGGTGTTTACTTTGGGGCCAGTGACGTCATTTGTCTATGTTTAAAATCCATGTCGTTTCTTTTCTCTTTATTTTCAGGTTATAGTACGTCACAAAGTAGTTAATGCGTGGAGGACAAGCACGACTAGCCGTCATACACTATTCCAACTACAAGTAGTATTGGTTGTAATAGTTGTAAAGTTAAAATACATACAGAAATAAATTTAAAAAATACATCGACGCGCCCAAACCTTGTCGGACATAAAATATACATAAAAGTTGTCTTCAGTTGATAATAGATAATTCTACATAGTACAAGGGAGTATGTCGAATAAAAACGTTTTCAAAATGCCAGCCTCTTTACTTAAACTAATTAATTAAAGGCTTAAGTCGCGTGATAATCAATTGATTTTGTGTCTCTTAATTACCATACTACATTGACGTATTCTAAATTTTGCAAATGAAGTAGAATTAAATTTTTTATTTGTTCAAGCTGTGGATGAAAATAAGGTGCTCCAATGCCTAAACCCCATATTCATTTCGTTACAATATTAGTAAGTAAAGTGACTGTAAATAAAATTAGTTGAACCTAAGTTGATTTAATATTGTTAACAATAAATGCATACCAAACAAATGGCACACTTTGTGAAGTTCTATTTATATTTTTTAAGTTCGAATAAATCTAGAACTCTACATTACAGTACCTTTTATTTGTGAAATCGTTATCATCAAAATTGGTACTATACGGTCTAAGAAGAAAGTTCAAGGTTTAGTGCTAATACTTGAAGAAAGTATAAAACCATACGAACTACCTTGCTTTAAATTTATTGGAAACAGTAACTCTGTTATATAGATTGAAATGATGCCATGTTTTGGACTTGAGTGACCGTTTTATGGATTTCATGGACTTACTTCGTAACAAATATGCAAAGTTTGTTTGTTGGGTTTTTTTTTTGTGGTTGTAGACAAACTACTGTATTTTAACTGTGTCGTATTTCCTTATTGTTCTATTTCGTTGAACCAATTTAAATTATAAATAAGATGTTACAAATGGTACTTTGTAAGAAAAGAACATTGCCTCGTTTACAACTATGATAAAAGTGAAGTTGTTTTTGTTTACAGTCTCTTTGATTGCCTTAACACAAGAATCTGGTCGACCCTTTGAAACTATTTACAAAGCACCATTGGCTTGGAATTCTTAGACTTCTCATACCAATGACAATAGGGAGCTTATTTATTTACTTGTTGATGGGCGTTTCGTAACAGAGAGGAAGTCATTGGGTTTCATTTTACAATCTTTAATTTGTTCAATTATACAAAAACGTTAAACAAACCATACAAAACATTATCAATTATTTGTAATATTTAAAACATTCGTGCACAGGAATATAGCATAACAACAACTGTTAGTTAACTACTTTAATAACTGTGATTATCAAAATAACATGAGAAAAGTTTTCAAGCATAAACTCATTCTAAAGAAAATGAAAAACAGGTAAAAATGCTTAAGACATTTCAAATGTTTCACACTGCATTTTTGTGATCAAACCAATACTTAAAAGTTAAATCTCCGAAAAGTCTTATACAAATTCTAAAATGTCATAAAATAATTGTGATATTGTGTATTTTAATAATAAATCCTAAACAATTTTAATACCAACAAACAATGTGCTGTAATGTAACTCGAGCACTAGGAATCGTGAATTTATACTAGTATTAAGTTGAATATTATTGCATTAATTTTGATGCAGTGCGAAAATGCCCCCGCCGCAGCAAACCTGCAGCGAATTTCCATTTTCCTGGCTAGACTTCTACAAAAATATTCCCTTAAAATTAATTGTCAGATGTATTTCCTATTTAAATAACATTAATTTTAATGAGTACTTAGGTTTGCTGTTACAGGGAAGGTATTGAGGTGTTTTTTTTATTGAAATGTAAATTAGTATGAAATAAACAAAATTGCCAAATTTGATTAAATATATTTATAAACAAGCAAACTACAACATCCTTATATATAATACCGTACGTGAAGGCGATTTCTACGAAACACTACTCCTCCGTTAATAATGGACGGATGTTTACAAACGATGTGTCAACATGAAATATTGTTTGTGTAGACAACCCCTTTCACCAATTCCTGTAATAAAAGTCCTCAGGCTTTGCCCCACAGGCCATCAAAATCCCAATTTATTTCTTATGAAGAAAAGATTTTGTTTACTTAAACGCACTAATATTTTTTATTAATTACAGCTGTTCAGAGTAAACACATGTTACACACAAGAGCGTTCGTTTTCAGTTTCGATAACTGGAGTGGAGTGATTGATTACATTATCTTTGAGTTGACTCTTTCAAGTCATCGGAAATAATGACTGTTATTTGTTTTGAAATAACGCTGGTAATACTTTGCAATTGCTCGAATTCGAGCAACAGGTGCACTAGTATTATTTATTCTCCATAAGAATAACATGGAAGTTTTAAATTTACAATTATTTGAATTATCTCCGTAACCGTTAAGAATACAACGATTCAATATTCAAAATTACTTTTTTTTTTAATATCTACAAAATGGTTGGAAAGATGTTGTGAAATTTTACGTTTTTAGGGTCAAATAAGGGAAACCCCAATTTTTACCCCATAAAACACGTTCCCATGACCGATCATGCTGGTTCGCGAAATCGAATAAATGCAGGTTTATAAGTTTGTACCGAATTTAATCAAAATCGGATAATTTTTGCTCGAGTTAACGCGCTAACGGACACATACATAGGTCTTACCATGATACCTACAGTTAAAGCTTATTCCCTATAGTATGGGAAATTCGCTAAAGAAAGGACACGCCCCAGACAGCACACTTTCTCCTCAGGACATCCCACGGATATTGCGACAGGATATGCAAGATATCCCATAGTGGTCCTATGGTCAACTTCCTAATGTCCCCGCCCGGGGATGTCCTACGGATAAGCTCACACGCATATCCGTGGGACATCCGAGGTCATCCCAGGGTAGTCCTCAGGACATTCTCAGGACATATGGGACTACTATGGGATGTCCCTGGGATAAAGTGTGGTCTGGGCCTGAACATAAAAAACACAAAATAATATAGATTTAGTATGAAAAGCTTAATTACAAGTTTAGTAAATTGATTAAATAGTTAATAAACACAAATTTTGAAGAAAAAAACGAGAAAAAAGTTTTTGGCCCAGACGGGTTTCGAACCTGGTACCTTCGTCTTGTGAGCCTCTTACCTTACCTCCTGAGCTATCTGCGCTTGTTGATTGTGGGTGTTTTCAAGTGGTTAAAGAGTAGCCGACAGTTGCAATGGTCACAATACTTAAAATATTTTTGACACTACAGTATAGGCTATATATGATTCTGTTAATCTGTTTATGCCTCAAGTAGTTGAATTGTTTTTCTGGTAGTTGGAGAGGATACTGGTATTTGAATATAGATTATTTAATCACCATTAGATTAGCACTGTAATAATTGATTGTTATATGATTAAAATTAGTTTTTTGTTGTTTTATTAATTTAAAGTTAGAATTAAATTCACATTCCACACAACTATGATAGAACTCTAGTTTTCCTGAACTCAGTGGTAATATGTCAGTAAAGTAAAGTCAACCCTTGCTAGCCATAGTATTAACAAGACATATTTTCAATCTGGGAAACCTTAAACTTTTAAAATAAATTATAAAACCTCAACATCTTAATGCGTGGGAATCTTATTTTTGAAAAAAAAACAGACCAAAATTATTTGTTAGCACTAGTGAAAAAAACAAATTATTATATATTGGCCTTGTTGAACATTTAAATTTAGATATACTGTACATTTCATCAGTGGTAGTATTTTTTTTTCTTCGGTTTGTTACCGGGACATTACAGGATATCCAGTGGATTTTGTACATGTCCTGGGATGTCATGGGACATTCTGGGATATCCTATGGCATTCGTACATATCCCGGGACTTTACAGGATATCCTGAGGTTAACTTACAAATCCCGGGACATTGCGGTATATTGTAGGATATCCTGTGGATTTCGTACTCGTCCCGGGATTTTGCGGGATATCCTGAGGATAGCGCACATATCCCGAGACATTCTCAGGACATATGGGACTACGATGGGATGTCCCTGGGATAATGTGTGCTGTCTGGGGCATTATATAATCGTGTGTTTGAATTATGTTCTCGCATCTAAAATTAAATTAAATCACAATAAAACTTAACAATAAAAACAAATCTAAAGTATATTCCTGACAAATGTACTACTTACGAATCGCCTTGCCAATCATAGAATTGGATAGGGCCGTGAGTGGAGTCTGCGCTGAAATCGGGAATGGTTGCTCCTAGACGCATCTTGCTTGACTGTGCTTGACTGACTGACTCACTGACTGACACTGACAACACGCCACCGCCACACTCACTCTCACTTCTTTTATACTCTCCGACCCGCCGCACGTCGCTGCGACCGACGGCGGACGCCGCAAGTGTGTGCGACGGCTGTAGTAGTGGTAAGGACGTTAGGGCTACCAACTTATGGATTTATATTCACTACCTAATTTGATTTGCAGTTATTTTATTGACGAATCGTGACAAAGAGCAGTTTTAAAACGTTTTTAGAACGTTTTAGATGAATCGGGAGTAAAAAACGATAACCTTGTGCTTTAAAACTTTATAAAAATAATGGTGAGGGTTTTATTTTATCATGTTGCCAGCACTTGACAGCACAGCTGTGGTGTATCGCGGGGTTAAAAAGTTCCCATATGCCTACGTTTCTGCGGCTCGAAGGTGCGCCACTGTGCACCTAGACCGACGCATCATCGCGGCTTTCGGCAGTTCCCGCATGATGCCGTAGGCGTAGGTCGCAGCGGCGTTATCACTGTTTGGCCCCCCCACCCAATACACCGTTCGGTACGTTTGGTCCCACATGTGGAACTGCCATTAAAAAAGTAGATGAACATTTTTGCTTAACCTAAACAATGTAGCTCAAACCGTTCGTTAGGAAGTTATGAATATTTTTGTAAACATACACATACATATACAAAAAGACGCCAATCAAAACGAGATAGGAAATATGTTTATACAGATTGTTTTTGCTTATTTTGAAACGAAAAATCACTACGAAAATTATGTGTACCCACCTCTTTTGAACAGTTGTATTTATACTCATACTAGCTGTACCCGCGGGCTTTGCCCCGTTTAACTTCTTAATTTTTAAGATGAGCTCGTTCGCATGGCTCAATTACGTCCTGGTTGAAGTTCGTTCACTACGCTCACTCACCTTTAGGTTGGAGCTAGTTCGCTGCGCTCACTTGCCTTCAGGTTAGCTAGTTCGCTACGCTAACTCGCCTCCAGGTTGAAGTTCGTTCGCTACGCTCACTCACCTTTTGGTTGCAAATTAGCTGTTGTCATAAATAAAAAAAAAATAATAGTGCTGCACCCTGTTGGTAATCCTTGTAACTTTAATGCTATTGAACATCATAGAACAGAACCAACTTGTTTAACTGAAACAGCTGATAAGATTCATTAATTCCTTTTAAATATGAAAACCCATAAGGTTAACATGGGAAACTCCAGAGCCACTGGGGCGGAGCCCGAGGGTCCGATCAGAATAAAAACAACTTAGTTTGCCTATTTAATACCTAAAGATTCGGTGTACCAAATTTCAGCCTCCTAGGTAAATGGGAAGTGGGAGAATTAGTGATGAGTGAGTGAGTGAGTGTGTCAGTGAGGACTTTGCCTTTTATAAGTATAGATTAAAATGTGAACGACTATGTAGCTTTTTTTTATGTGCTTTTTATGAAAAAGTTAATCGGTCCCGAGTTTAGGTATTACTGTGCTTCCTATGGCGATAGCTACTTCCCTATAGGGAAATTCACTAAAAACACTGTATTTTTTAACTAATGGCGGATGTTACAATGGATTATACAGTAGAACAGATTTAAAGAACAAATTGTTCTCCTCCGCGTCCTATCCCCGTTGCGAAGCATGGGTAGTCAACATCAGCTAGTAGAGAATCTGATCAGTTTAAGGCAATTTTTGAGTAAATTATAATAGGTATTAATATGTGTGTAACTATTTTATGCAACCGATGTAAATATTAAAATGTTTCTATTTTGTGTCCCATTCCCGTTGCAAAGCACGGGTACAACAGCTAGTTATATATAATGGACATACAATAGATTCACTATATTTATGTAAATACCGGTAATTATTTAGGATTGATATTAAATTAAGCTATAAGAGTGGCTTGGATAGCAACGAGAAACTTTTGAGACTGGACCTAGGGCGCACGAGTAAGTGACATTTATTTATTTTTCGACGTCCATATGTGAGGTAAAGTTGACAAGTTGATTAAAAAGATGGAAAAGTATTGTATGCAGCCTTCAGTTTGGTCTTGTGTGATCACTGTCAACCTCGGCCTTAGAGCCCGTTTGACAATCACAAAGTTGATAAGATACATCTAATTCTTAAATAAACACGTTTAATTGCTCATTATAAAAATATGATTACCTATTTATCATTGTACGGTAGTTGAAGCACAATATAATTTGAATATCTCTATCATTCGTCGTATAAAACGAGTTTATAATAACACATGAATCTATTAACTGTGAGTATGGGAAGGGGCGGCAATTGGATTTAGCCTACGAGGTGGCATACTCCTAAATCCGGCCCTGATGAGACTCATGTCCGATACAGATATGTCTCGAACATCCGCCGAAAGCAGTGTACGTAAGCTCTGATTTGATAACAAGTTACTTGATACTTACTTACTTACTTGATACTTGTATTCTTGATCCTTGACTGACAATGTCAGATGGATCGCGTCATGTCTTTAAAAATGTAAAGACTTGATTTATTTCTTTAAATACTGTAAGTTACTATGATAAAACTAATATTTACAACTACTGGTGGTATGGCGGACGTTTTTATTGTGAAGGGAAGAGTTGTATCTCATTTAGCTCCCCCAGAGAATATAGTGGCCTATTCACGAGGGCCTTATGAACAACTTTTTTAAATTCTTTCATGCCCATCTCTCGAACTTGCGACGGCAGTGTGTTGAAGATTTTTATGGCCGACCTAGGGTAGGACTTCAAGGTCCGTTCGAGTCGACAGCGCGGAAGGTCTAAATCCTGAGCTCTTCGAGTGCTGTAGTTATGATGATCTTCCCTTTTCATGAAGTCGCTCCTATTTTCTTTCAGGAGTGTGAGTATGTTGTAAACTGTTCTCTACTGTACACTGTGAGGATCTTCAGTTCCCTAAAGATAGGCCGGCAATGCTCATAATACCCAGATGATGTAATGACTCTGAGTGCCATCTTTTGAAGTAAGAGAACATCCCTTGTAGCAGGGGAATGCCCCCACAGTATCAATCCATACATCACGTGACTATGGAAGAGAGCATGATAAACCGTTGTAAGGTATGGCTGAGTTATTAAATCCCTAAGTTTCCTTAGAAGATACAGCACTCTTGAAAGTTTGACACATACCTTGCTTATATGGTGGTTCCATGTGCACCTCGAGTCGACCCAGAAACCCATAGTAGTTTGACCGGTTCACCCTCTTCTACCCCTGCACTCAGAGTGCAGGTTAGAGTTATAGAGTTATAGAGTAAAGTTATATGAGTTAGACAAAAGATGTTGTCGGTAGGATGTCTATGACACCAGTGTGTAACCGCTTACGTCTTTACAAAGTAATCTTTTTAATTGGATTAAACTTGAAAACCCACTCCTGCTAATCTTTTTGTTTAGTCCATCCCAATTGAACATCCATTCAACATAACATAGCTATACAACTCTACACAACGTGGAATTTCGCCCATAAAGCCAGATTATAGGAGTCCTTGGTGGTGGCTAGCGGCCATCTTGGATTAATTTCAAACAGCTACTGGAGAACACTCAGCAGAATTTTTTGATTTATCATCACAAAACATTTGTTCATATACTAAAATTGTTGTACCGTAATTTAATATTCAGGTCACTGTGGGGAAACTTTTGGTGGTTTTGTAATTGTTTTACCAAGGGAGTCCTTTGAGGCTAACGGCCATCATGGATTTGCTTGCCACAAGAGTAATGTTAATTTTGTTAATTTCAAACAGCCTCTGAAGAGTTATTTACTATTTCAAAATATTTGTTTCAATTCCAATGTGTATTTAAATACCTATTAAAATACATTGTATTGTGAAATTAGAAATTGTCTTTGCAATTGTAGTTTTGTAATTGCTTGATGAGTTAAAACTAAAAACTTAAAAGGTATAGGCACCAAGGACTCAAAGCAAAAGCATAAAGCTAGTTCACTTTCCTCGTTTTATCTTGCTTTTAATTGATATTAACTCCTATTATAGTAACCATAATGTGTTATCATACATTATGTCAATCTATTTTTTTTTTTTTGCATTGCGTGGTAATTTAACTGAAAACGCATAATAATAATCATTGTATAAACATAACAACATCACATATATCGATAAGTGTTATGATCAATGACAATGACAATATTGAACAAGAACAACTTACTTTCCTCTGGTCTGATTTAAATCATCTGTGATTGTATTTATCTTCTGCTAGCGAACGAACGGATGCCAAGCCAAATGCCAAATCAAAGTTGTCATTTTCTTACCTTACTGTTGAGTGTTGACAGTTTTTAGCCATCATGGCTGTAACCGCGGAAAGTTTTCGCTGGTTAGATATTTTAGAAAAAGAGTTCGACAAAGCTTTTGTTGATTTGGATCTTTTAATTGGTACGTACTTACCAGTTATAAAATCAATAAGTACAGTCTCTGGCTACCTTCGCAGCAAATTTAACTCTGATAATCTAAGTACAAGCCTTGCAGTTTAAGTTACGTCAAACTTTCCGGTTTTTGTTTCTTAATGAAGTAATATTATTCGAAAATGAAGTATACATTTACTGATGTTTTGAGTTAGCCTTAAATATGTTGTACACTTTTACTAATATATATTTCGTGCCATCATGGTCCTGGTTCATTTTATAGGTTAGAATACATTAAGAAGGTATAAGCCTAGCGAAGATATTAAATTATTTATTTGTTTTTCTTTCAAGGAAAGGTTTTAAAAGTCTTTAATAAGCTAAACCAAATCAAAATCTTCAATAATACAATTTAGATTAATTGATTCCCTTAACACTTCAGTTTTAGGGTTTCTGGTTAGGCTAGGTATTCACTTTGTTTGTCTTTATAGCTTAGAGATCAAATCAAAATGTGTGAAAACTGATTGTCATTGTAAAACCTTGTATATAACTTGCATAAACCTTGTAATACCTTTGTATATTTTGCCCAAGCTCCTCTCTCAAACCTTTTTTCCCCCTTTACCCTAATTAACTGTGCCGTGTGTCTTAACTCTCTGTGCTGTGATTTCCCTGAGGTAAAACATTACTTTAAGGTAATGTGACATTCCTTAGGCATATAATTAACTTAGTCGTGAATCTAAAATCTGAATTTTTTGCCAACATACATTACGGTAAATAAATGTATAGGCTGTTGTTAAATTAGGTATCTTACTTAATGAATATTTAAGCAAATTGTTGAACTGGCAAATAAGTAGCCTAACGGGGGTTTGGGACACACCTGTACTGTTTTTTACTTGACACAAAATGTTGTTTAGTAACAGAACTCATTAAATGACCACCTCCATTGCCGGTAGATGTATATTTTTTGTACTAACTTAAGCTGGTCTTTTGTGTGTGATGGAATGTTTTTCACATGGTAAACAGTGTTAATTTTTAATGTAATATAAGAAACTAGCAAACCCGTTGTGTTGTGGCTTCGCTCACAAAAATTTAAGAGTTAAATGTTCAACCTGAGTAGGACCTACTCTTGATTTTTTAATTCATTTAACTATTAAAAATCTGTTATGCAGTAAGACTTTTTTTCACCACACTATGATGTTATTAGCTGTTTTACATACGTTAATTAGAGGCTGAAAGTTACGTTTTGCTGGCCATGCCAATTGTTATCGTCATTTGGGGACTGAGCTGGTTTTTACATCTCTAGGGCCGCAAAATCAGCTGCCAGCTTGCATATTAATTACACAAACAGTATCCATAGCATTGTAATAGAATTGTTTTATTTTCACCGTTGCCTAGCAACTGTTTATTATTATTTTTTCTGATTCCTGAAATTACTTCTTCACATAACCTTAAAGTTGCGTTGACTAACAGTGTTCCTTATTATTATTGTGAATAGTTAGTGGTGTGGTGAAAAATAGTGTTTGTACGTCGGACCAAAAATGGTTTTGCAGCTCTCGATCGATTTAAGTTCTCGACTTCGTCTTGAACTTAAAAACCATCTCGAGCAGGCAAAACCACGTTTTTGGCCCAAGGTACGAAATATACTATTTCAAGCCACAACATAAAGTTTTTTTTTTTTTTTTTTTTTTTTTAACTTTATTTAATTTACAATCTGTTTAAGTTGAACAATAAGCAAATGATATAACTAGTAATACAAAAATAACTTGAAGAACATGAGCTAGTGATTGACCACCGTCAACACTAGCAAACAAAGAGAATTTTGATAACACTTAGCCGAATCTGAATGGTAGGTCCAATATCGTATGTCGCTTCAGTCTGTAAATGGTGTTGTGATTGTCCAATAAATTAAGTGCAAGATGATTTGAATGATTTTCCAATTTCATAATGTATTTTTCACTATATTTTGTAATTTCTTCTTTTACTGTTCGAATTTGAAGATCATTGTGAAGTGTTCTGTTGGTAACAAACCAAGGAGCGTTGACAATTTTACGTAATAATTTTGATTGGTAACGTTGAATAATTTCAATGTTTGAGGTACTTGCTGATCCCCAAAGCTGAATACCATAAGTCCAAATTGGTTTTAAAACTGTTTTGTACAGTAACAATTTATTTTGTGTACTGAGTTTTGATTTAGATCCAAGAAGCCAATTAAGTTTAGTTGTTTTTAAATTTAGATGTTGCCTTTTAGTCCAGATATGTGCCTTCCAATTAAGCTTTGCATCTAAGTGCATGCCCAAGTATTTTATTTCCGTTACTTGAGGGAGGTGAATATTGTTCATGGATACTGGAGGACATGTAGCCTGATTTAAGGTAAAAGTAATGTGTGCTGATTTATTTTCATTAATTTTGAACCTCCATGTTTTAAACCAATGAGAAATTTCATCCAAGTTTAGCTGTAAATTTGCTGTAGCTTGAGCTGGATTGTCGTGGACAGATAAAATCGCCGTGTCATCCGCAAATGTAGCAACCATAGTGTTTACACTTTCTGGTAGGTCCGATGTATAGAGAATATACAAGTATGGTCCAAGCACGCTTCCTTGGGGGATTCCTGATTCTATAGGGTAAAGGTCAGTTAAGTAATTTTGATGTTTAATTTGGAAAGTTCTGTTGGTAAGATATGATTTTAAAATAGGAAAAATTGAATGGGGTAGTAACTTCTTAATTTTGAATAGTAAGCCAGAGTGCCATACTTTGTCAAATGCCTGACTGACATCAAGGAAAGCAGCAGAACAAAATTGTTTGTTTTCCAAACAGTTTCGAATTGTATGAACAACCCTATGGACCTGCTCCACGGTGCCATGTCTCCGTCTAAACCCGAATTGGTGTCCTGGAATGACGTCGTCTTCTTCAAAAAGAGCTTGTAGTCTTTTGAGGAACAATTTCTCAAACAACTTGGACACTATAGGCAAGAGACTTATAGGTCTGTAGGAAGTGATTTCATGAGGAGGTTTTCCTGGTTTTGGTATAACAATTAATTGGGCTTTCTTAAATTGAGTTGGTATGTGGTCTAGTCTCAATATAGAATTAAAGAGAAATGCAATAAAAATCATTCCTTTCCTTGGCAGTTCTTTTAACATTTTTCCAGTGATAGAATCGTAACCAGGAGATTTTTTCGGATTTAGCGATTTGTCAATGGTTGCCTTAATTTCTGTAGGTCTGAATTTTTCCAGAGGAAAGTCAAGTTGAAGTGGAGAGTCCAAGAATTCTATTATTTCTTCTTCATTATTGACCACACCTACATTTGGCTTGAATACATTGGAAAAGTAATCCCCGAAAGCTTCAGATTTTTCTATGTCACTCTTAGCCCAGCTTCCATCCGGTTTACGAATTGGCGGGATTGAAATTTGGGGTTGCTTCAGCCTTTTTGTTACTTTCCATAACGAGTAATCCGTAGCTTCCGTAGCCGACAAAGATTGAGTATATTCTTCAAACCATCGGTTTTTTGTGTCGTACAATAATCTTTTCAAATTCCGTGCTGCTCGGTTAAAGTTGGCCTTATCATTTGGGTTTCTTGAGTTTTGCCAAATTCTTCTGAGTCGTCTCTTTTCTGCTATCTTTTTCTTGATATGAATTGGGTAGCCTAGGCCTATTTTCTCTGATTTTTCATGATTAGGTAGAGGTGTGGATTCTTTGGCAGAATTTTGAATACAGTCAACAAAGTGATCAACAGCAGCTTCTACATTTTCAGGACTACGTAGCTGTATGTGTAAATTTAAGTTTTGATTTATAAAATTTCGAAATTGATTCCAGTCCGTGTATTTATTGAAAAATACGTCCCCTGGTTCTTTGTGAAATATTTCGGTACTTAAATTTAACATAACTGGTGAATGGTCAGAAGATAGGTCAAGACAAGATTAAGTAAGTGAAATATTTCATTTTATGTAATACAGTAAAGTAAAATATAACCAGCTGTTTCCTTAATTAATAGTGCAGATTCAAAAGTATTCATGTGTTCAAATGTAAACAAATCTATTCTCCATGAGGATACCATGGGAACTTTAAAAACCACTGGGGCAGAGCCCTGATGGAATTTCTTGAAAACGCTTCCTATTGCACACCTAAAGGTTGATTGGAACCTCCATGCCGATTCCTGAGTTTTTATGGATTGAGATATAGTGAACAGTGAGGAAGTGAGTGGTATTTGACTTTTACAAGTATAGATATCTGTAACATTTTGGTCCTGGTGATAGTTAAGTTTTCTCATTTTGCATTCCAAATTCCAAATTAATGATGAATTTTTAATAGGCCCTATCATACAATAGCTTTTAAAGTTTCTAAATACGGTAATCTTTGCCAATTATAGGTGTATGGTGCATCTAAGATAACTTTTTCTATAAACTGTTGAAAAACTGTACATATTTAGCCTACTTTGATGTTTGTGACGCTGTCAATCCCACTTTGTAGGTAAAAGATGAGGAGGATGTATTGAGGTATTTAATACCGGTATAGCTACCAATTTTATCATCGTATCCCAATTTTTTTTATTATTCTTACAGCTCATTTCCCCACTTTTACTATACCGTACTAACTTATCCATACTTTCTTAATGAGAAGAAATATTTGCAAACTACCTATATATTTTTGTAATATTTTTTTATTTCAAACAAAGGGTTAGGCCTATACATTCAGTGGGGTGATAAATTTTCCTTTAAATTTGTAACTTATGAATCAACTTGTAGCAAACTTGTAAATTACACAAGTTAAGTTTGTAAATTGTTATACATAAAATTTCCACATTTAAATACACTTCTCCGCGCTAATTTACCAAATGGCAATGATTTTAATGAGAGTTCACCCCCTTCCCACTGAAAAAAATCACAGAACACGATTCATAGCATATATGGTTAAAACCATAGACAAATAGAATAAATATATACTGTCAAAGGAAGGTTCTGCGATGTGCTGCTAGAGCGTGCTTAGTGTTTATCGATTAGTTGCCGTCGTCGACTCACCATCTGCTACCAACACTTTCACCCTTGCAAAAAAATGCTACCAACGTATCAGACCCATTTTTCAATAATGTTAAAGTTCAAATCCCGTACTTTAAACGGAAAAGCACATTTTTTTTACTCCTCGGGAAAAAGACACAGAAAATAAACGGAAGAAACTCCTACTCCCCGGTTTCCGGGGGATTCTCCAGAAGTTGGCAATCCTGGGTCCAACTACCAACTTGTCATGACAATGATCATTAGCACTTGACGCTTCAGCGGCGTTCCCGAAAACTACACAGTTCTCCTAGCAGTGGTGGCTAGAATATATGCTAACTGCAAAACTGCTGTCGGTCTATATTAAATTAAATTAAAAAAATAAATTTTAACTCTTTTTTTTTCTATGGTAGAACCAACCAAAACAAGTTGGAAAAGTGAAAAACACAACAATGGTGACATATTTAAACTAGCTGGCACATGGGCGCTACTTTAGCTAGGCTAGTTGAAGACCCTAAATTTGTAGACAACCCGCTTAACTATAGAAAATATTTTGGACATGAAGATCCAATAGGAATAGAACATTACCATAAATACCCTACCATCGTACCTAATTATTTAATTGTCAATATAACCTGTTTATGCTTAATTTATATAAGACATGTACTAATGCCAATACCACAAGCTTTTGAAATTAAATATCAGCAAAATTTCCATCCGAACATTTCCCCGATCAAGACCAAAACCAGATTAATTCTACCGAGTGTGGTAAAAGGGAGTTTAGAGAGAGATGGAGAGCGTGTGTGAGTGAGATAGAATAAAATTGTGGGGGTGTTAATGTTAAAATACAACACCTATCTAGGCTATATTAAAATATTCTAAAAAGGGTGTATACAGTTATACGTGTTGATTTTTATTGGGGTTAATCATTAAAATAACATGTTACGGAATAATTATTTAAATTGCATTTAATAATATTAATGTTTATATTAATTTTGAAAGAATTTAAGTATTATATCGATTACATAATTCAAGTTTAAAATTATTGATATAATTGATTTAACGGTTTCAATGTGTAAAATACATTTTTGGCCAAACACAAAATTGCAGCTTAAAGGCCCATAACATAAAACAACAAGTATTATATGGCAATTATCCTATTTAATTGGTAAAATAAATCAATTGTGGGTAATATTTTGTCAATTAGAACCATCAACGCTAGCACAGGCGGCCGCTCAGTGCGGCGCTCACAATGGCGTACGGGGCAAAAATATACTGACACACTATCGTACATCACTCTGTACATCGGACCGATCTTTTCTTTGATCTTTAGCCAAAAACCTGCCTCCAGAGCGCTCGTCTCCCTGCTCAGCCTGATGTCTGGTTCGCCGTCTGGATAAGTGTACGGACCCCTGACACACTATCGAACATGCTCCCTTCGACCTCCCTTCTCCCTGCTCGGTTCAGGTCTTGATCGGGGAAAAGATTGATAGTTTTCACCATCTTTAGTCTAGGATTGTAAGTTACAAAATTCTGTCCTACTGAAGCCTATATATCTATAGTCTAAGTAAATTATTCCAAGCATAATCTTTCCAATCGAAATAGTTTAACACATAACCAGATATTTAAAAAGTTCAACATATTTACAGGTGATCTAGATAGTGATGAACCGGAAATGGTGTATAATGCAAGACAGAAAATGGCTACGTTGAGTTCTTGCTTTGCTCAACTTACCCATAAGGCACAGACGATCTTCCAAAATAATGCGAAGAATGAGGTAAGTGTCAAAATAGTATTTTTCCTACGACTGCATGGAAATGATCACATTGCCACACCTGTAAACAGTACGCAATATTGCTCATTTCTGCTCTACAGCCGGAAGGACCATTCCTGCTCGCTAATTTTATTGTTGGGGTTTCTAAAAAAAAACTAACATTGAGTAAGCAGATACATGGGAAGTGCAAGAAGAAGTACACTGTCTTTCTTCTAATGGAAGCACCAGAAGAGTAGATATTTTATTGATTGAGAGAGATACTAACAAAGGCATAATTCTCGATCCTACAATTCGATTTGAAACAAACATAAATCAAGCTAACGAAAGAAATGAAGAAAAGAAAAAAATTTATGATTCTACCTTTGAATATTTCAAGCAAAATTTTAAAATTACAAAAATTGAGGTGATTGGATTGTTTATTGGTTCTAGAGGAACATTATCAAAATTTTTTTTGAACTTTTGGAAACAATATGATTTGGACAGATCCTTTTTGAAAATTATTATTCATGAAACATTAAGAGGTTCATTGACCATAATGAGAAATCATCTATATGGCTGTATAATCCTTAGATATTTTATGTGTACTATTTTTCTGTGTCATTGGCAACCTTATTGTTTAAGGCGGAGGTATTTATTTTTATAAATAAATTCTTTTCTCTAACCTAAAAAAGCAAACATAATCTAAATTATTACATTTTACATAGGCCTACAACTAAAAAGTGTATTTGTGTGTGGTTATGGTTAGTTATGGTGGTGGGAAAAGCTGTGTGTGTATTACGAGCACAAACAGTCAGTGTCGCTCTCAAAATGTATGGCCACCCTCAGCTGAGTGGCAATGATGCACTTTTGACTAAATTAATACACAAAAAAGCTATTTCATTTATTGTCAGTAAACCATTGGTATCACAGATGTATATCAAATTAGAACATTTTTATGTATTTTATCTAACTAGTATTTAGCTCTATCAATTTGCTGACTTCGTGTGAGGGGAAAGATACGGATACGTAGAAATATTTACAATGTTTGTGATATAGCCTATCTGTAGTTATCACTCATTTCAAAATATTTTTAGACAGACACACACGTAGGTGCGTATTTGAATGGAGTGAGATGATCTGTAGCTTTGGAACTTACCAAGATTAGCTATTTACTAGCCAAGACCACTTAATTGCCCTATGCTCATGGGCAGGTGGGTTCAATTTTAAATCATCATGAAGCTTCTACTTTTTCTTATAATTGAACCGGCAACTTTTTGACTGTTAGACAAGCATTGTAACCATTTGGCTGAACAGCTGTTGTGTAAAAATCTTCCTTTTTAATCGCAAGTAAGAATTCCTATTCTAAAGTACAACAAGGTACAACCATTGACTATTGGATACTGAAGTCAATTAATTATCAATAGCCAAAGGTACAACCTAGAAGAAAATAGCTAAGAATATTAATCTTAAAAATAAATGAACATGTTTGCTTCAGACCCAGAAAGAGAAATTGGAGACATTACCAGGTTTTAATTGAATATCAGTCAAAATGACAGTCACATATCTGGCTTCAAACAGGTGTTGCTAGTTAAACATTTTGTTTATCTTTCATTAGGAACACAATGAATTTCTAACTTTCAATTCATTGTGAAAACTTTAACTTTTAGTTTGGCTTTGTTAAAAATTTGGTGTATTCAACGTTAAATTTTAATTTAATCAGTGTAGCTGTTGCTCAACTAAATTACGTTCATTTTTTTCTTAGCTATGAACATTTAAAAAATGGTCGTTTTGACATTTTGACAGTAAGAAATTCATTTGAGAGCTTTGAGACATATACCCCCAGCACTACATACAAGTTACATTCATATATTGAAATCATAAAATAAAAAGCGTATACCTGTTCTCTAACGTTTGTTGCCTAGACCTACAGATAATCGTCCACTAACATTCAGTGCCAGACACAAATTTATTCAATAACTCGAGAGTCCAAACTGGTTGATCAGCAGGCACCAGATGACCGGCGTTTCTAACCATCACTTCCGTCAACCCTCCCCCACTTTTACAGTAGCCGGCTAGATCTTCATGCACCCACCACACACGTCTCTGCGCCTGTTGGAATTCTGCTTTACCACTCCAATTAAATTGTTGTATCATTTGTTCGCCCAACGGGTAAGCACATATTACATCAAGTTGTCCAAAGTAAAAGAGTACCCTGTAGTTTTCTAGCAACTCTTCAACATTACTCTTAACTGACTTCATGATATCATCTTTTAACGCTAGAGCTATTGTTTTTCCATCATTGAACTGATTCTCTCCCACGTGAAGTGCGTTTCTGATGGATGTGTTGGTTACAAAAGGTTGAAAATCATTATCGCCCTCCTGGTCGTTGATGTAGTTATAGTGTAGTTTGAGCCCAGTCAGGTTGTTATAGAGGGTGAAATTAGAGTAGTAGTAGTCCATCACCATCATTGAGAATATTTCTGTCGCTTTGGTCCATTGTTGTGATGAAATTTTTTCTGCAATAATTTTCTCGTACTGTTGGAACATTTTTTTCCCGTTTGAATCGACTAACCCCAATTGATAAAGGTAGTCTCCGTAGTGTAACATATTTACGGGATCAACCATTCCGTTTCCAATAAATAGTCCATGAAGGTTAATTTTTAATGTGGAATTAAACTTGTTTTTGTATATAGAATATGCTACTGAAGGGATGTACTTTCCTGCGTACGATTCTCCAGTGAGGAAAAAACTATTGGTTTTTATTTCCGGGAACAAAGCGAAAAGTTGGAGCAAAGCGTTGTGCACAGTGTTGCCGATTTCATCTTGTGTCGTCGGATAACCTCGGGAATCATTTGTAAAGCTGAATCCCGATCCCACTGGATTATCAATGTAAATTACGTTGTACAGTTTCGACCACGAGTAAGGATTCTTTTTCAACCCTACCTTTGTCAAACGAATCGGACCGTTTTCAAACAAAAGTCCCAACAATGATGAAGCTCCTGGACCTCCTTGTAGCCACAACAACACCGGCTTCGTCTCCCACGAAGTTTCGCTTGGGAAAAACCAGAAAAATAAGTTTGAGTTGTATTGTTTATCGACGGTCAAGTAACCTGAAAAACTGATTAAACCTTCTAACATGGGCGGCACAAGAGCTAAGAGTCGGGCATCGTAAATTCTTCCTGATTCGATGTAAGGTGTCAAATACAAAGGTTGGTTTGGACCTGGAACTTCATTGGTAGTTACACTAACACTCACAGACACAAAGAATATAAACAGTAGCTTCATCACTGTCTGTGGACTGACTGAGTTGTAATCTTGTATGCACTGATAATGATGTCTGGTGATAACCTAGTGATCAGACAGCGGCTTAGTAGTTTGTTTACTCTATGCATAACTGCATGGATACAATTTGTGTCCCCAGGTTACCAACTTATCTCAGTTACTGTAACAGATATAATGTGTTTAGGCAAATAAAATTTTATACAGAGAGAAAAAAAATTGTGAATAATTGTAATCTAGAAATAATTTGTGTATGAAATATACATAATTTAAGGTCAATAAATAAAAATATTTAATAAATCAAATTTTTGTAATCTTTTCTAACAAATGTTAATACAACAACAAACCAATGCACAAGTAAAGGCATACTTGATTTAGTTCAATAAATCAAGTTTTTATTAGAATTTTGTATTTTCTAAATTATGTAATACAATTACTGTATTCAGCAAGAAAATTATTTAAATTATATTTTAGCTCATGAGTTTTCATGAAGTGTATGAACTACATCTCCTATGTATCTCAACCTTTTAATATAAATTCCATAGAAAAAGGTAGCCAGGACAGTTTGGAATAAGACCACAAATCACTTTTATTTTAATATTTACTTTTACATTTAAGAGTCCTAAAATTTGTTAACTTTAAAAGTTCAATAATAAAAAATAAAAATAAAAATACGGGTAATTAACTAATTATAATTTTTTAATTTGTCACTTAAATTATCGATAGGTAATATAATATTTTTTTACGTTCTCGATTTGCTTAAGATTTTAAGTGTTGATTAAAGCCATAAAATCTACCCATCTAAAATAATTTCACAATTCTTGTAGTGATACATGGATCCACAGTTTCTTTTACGTGTTCCGGATGTTTTACTCTTTTCATATCTTACATAATTTAATGACTTGGATGACGAGCCCTTGAATATTTTTAACTTTTCTGCCTGTTTGTTTCTGACTTTGACTTTATTAACAAGATTTCTAGGTAGGCTTGTTTATTTCTAAACAAATGAAGCAGTCTTACGCTAAAAGGAATATATCCGACATAGTACTGGACTCAATTCAAACCAACTACAAACACTGTGTTTTTTTAAAGCTCCAAACTTAGAAATTATGAACTAAAACTAACTCACAAGTGAAACATTTACATCACATTAACTAAAAACATCTAATTTAAGACTAGTTCAAAACTAAAGAATAAAACTTAAACTATCTGTACAGTTTACACATAGTTCTAACAAATATCTAAATAAACGTATCTACAACCAGAGAATAGTCTAAAGAATAGTCGACACTTTATTCTGTACTACAACTCTCTAGCAACTCTCATTCGTGATGTTTTAATTCTATCTGCAACATTTCTTCAGTAGAGTCTTTGGAAACTATCTTCTCATTCATTGAATTACAAACGTTTTCAATTCTCTCATACAGACTTTTGTCACTCGTGATTTGATGTATAAGTAAAAGCCTTTCCCTCATTTTTGAGTTTGAATCTGTCGCAACGCTTTGTATGTTTTCTTCTCCAAAGCACAAGGTCTCTACTAAAGGTAGTAGTAAACTTTGATTATGGTTTTCAGTTGAATTGGAAACTTGTAAAGGTTTCCATAACTCGGATATGTTTAAATTTCCGTGTTTAATTTTCATTATTAGTGCATAATACTTGAGCAGAGTTTTCAAATCTTCTGGAATACCAGAGGGTTTATCTTCAGAGTTGGTTGTATTGGATTTTTGATCAATCATGTACGTAGTTCCATTCGCCATGGTAAGTGTAATAGTAGTTTCTTCATTATGAATGTCATCATTATTTTCATCAGAAATGTTTTCCTCCAGAGATAAGTCTGTCGTCAAAGTCGTCGTCTGGATGTTTCCTGCAGTGCTTGACTCTTCATCATCAGTTTTGTTCAACGGCTCTAAATTATACATTTCTCCGCTCTCATCGTCTGGATCCGCCTCGGTGTTTTGAATTACAGCTTCTAATCTGTCCAGACTTATTGTACTGTTGAGAAAGCGTAGTAGTGAGTCTTTTTGGTCTTGGGTCAGATTTGAAGTCATCAACTCAATCACTTGTAGTATTGAAGAATCCAGTGTAAGAGGATGAAATGGTTTTATTACGACAGGTGTTAAGACTGAGGCACTCGCTACACTGCTGTTGTCTGCTAAAATATCGATGTCACGGGTTATCTTCAAAACTCCTGAATCGTAGTTTTTCTCACTTTTGTCTTCTACAATGGTGGTATTTGTTGGAAGTACAGTTTCTGTGGTCGTAGACACAAATGGGGTTTCCTCTGTACTGTTTGTAAGGTTATGTGTTTTCTGGAGAATATTGTCTTCACGGGCTGGTTCACTTTTATTGCAGGTATTTGCACTTTGATTAGATATTTTTGATACTTCATTGTGTATTCCCTGTAACAAAAGTTTATTTTAAGTAATAAAAGTAATGTTTTTACTTCAAACGAGTTCCACACCTAATAGATATGTATATAAACTCCAAATTTTATTAGAACAATTAAGTTTTCCTGACGGTTTAGATGTAAAGTATCCTGGTCCTAGAGTCACTGTTGTCTTTGGTTAGTGTCACTACCATGTTGGTGTTGTAAGTGACTGTACTGGGCCTTACCTGCAAGTTGTTGACAGTCTGATGTGTCAGTTGTGAGACAGAGTGTTGTAGCAGCTTGGTAGAGTCACTGTGGTCCTTGGCTAGTGTCACAATCATGTTGGTGTTGTAAGTGACTGTACTGGGCCTTACCTGCAAGTTGTTGACAGTCTGATGTGTCAGTTGTGTGACAGAGTGTTGTAGCAGCTTGGTAGAGTCACTGTGGTCCTTGGCTAGTGTCAAAACCATGTTGGTGTTGTAAGTGACTGTACTGGGCCTCACCTGCAAGTTGTTGACAGTCTGATGTGTCAGTTGTGTGACAGAGTGTTGTAGCAGCTTGGTAGAGTCACTGTGGTCCTTGGCTAGTGTCACAACCATGTTGGTGTTGTAAGTGACTGTACTGGGCCTCACCTGCAAGTTGTTGACAGTCTGATGTGTCAGTTGTGTGACAGAGTGTTGTAGCAGCTTGGTAGAGTCACTGTGGTCCTTGGCTAGTGTCACTACCATGTTGGTGTTGTAAGTGACTGTACTGGGCCTTACCTGCAAGTTGTTGACAGTCTGATGTGTCAGTTGTGTGACAGAGTGTTGTAGCAGCTTGGTAGAGTCACTGTGGTCCTTGGCTAGTGTCACAACCATGTTGGTGTTGTAAGTGACTGTACTGGGCCTTACCTGCAAGTTGTTGACAGTCTGATGTGTCAGTTGTGTGACAGAGTGTTGTAGCAGCTTGGTAGAGTCACTGTGGTCCTTGGCTAGTGTCACTACCATGTTGGTGTTGTAACTGACTTTACTGGGCCTTACCTGCAAGTTGTTGACAGTCTGATGTGTCAGTTGTGTGACAGAGTGTTGTAGCAGCTTGGTAGAGTCACTGTGGTCCTTGGTTAGTGTCACTACCATGTTGGAGTTGTAAGTGACTGTACTGGGCCTTACCTGCAAGTTGTTGACAGTCTGATGTGTCAGTTGTGTGACAGAGTGTTGTAGCAGCTTGGTAGATACACTGTGGTCCTTGGCTAGTGTCACTACCATGTTGGTGTTGTAAGTGACTGTACTGGGCCTTACCTGCAAGTTGTTGACAGTCTGATGTGTCAGTTGTGTGACAGAGTGTTGTAGCAGCTTGGTAGAGTCACTGTGGTCCTTGGCTAGTGTCACTACCATGTTGGTGTTGTAACTGACTTTACTGGGCCTTACCTGCAAGTTGTTGACAGTCTGATGTGTCAGTTGTGTGACAGAGTGTTGTAGCAGCTTGGTAGAGTCACTGTGGTCCTTGGCTAGTGTCACAACCATGTTGGTGTTGTAAGTGACTGTACTGGGCCTCACCTGCAAGTTGTTGACAGTCTGATGTGTCAGTTGTGTGACAGAGTGTTGTAGCAGCTTGGTAGAGTCACTGTGGTCCTTGGCTAGTGTCACTACCATGTTGGTGTTGTAAGTGACTGTACTGGGCCTTACCTGCAAGTTGTTGACAGTCTGATGTGTCAGTTGTGTGACAGAGTGTTGTAGCAGCTTGGTAGAGTCACTGTGGTCCTTGGCTAGTGTCACTACCATGTTGGTGTTGTAAGTGACTGTACTGGGCCTTACCTGCAAGTTGTTGACAGTCTGATGTGTCAGTTGTGAGACAGAGTGTTGTAGCAGCTTGGTAGAGTCACTGTGGTCCTTGGCTAGTGTCACTACCATGTTGGTGTTGTAACTGACTGTACTGGGCCTTACCTGCAAGTTGTTGACAGTCTGATGTGTCAGTTGTGTGACAGAGTGTTGTAGCAGCTTGGTAGAGTCACTGTGGTCCTTGGCTAGTGTCACTACCATGTTGGTGTTGTAAGTGACTGTACTGGGCCTTACCTGCAAGTTGTTGACAGTCTGATGTGTCAGTTGTGAGACAGAGTGTTGTAGCAGCTTGGTAGAGTCACTGTGGTCCTTGGCTAGTGTCACTACCATGTTGGTGTTGTAAGTGACTGTACTGGGCCTTACCTGCAAGTTGTTGACAGTCTGATGTGTCAGTTGTGAGACAGAGTGTTGTAGCAGCTTGGTAGAGTCACTGTGGTCCTTGGCTAGTGTCACTACCATGTTGGTGTTGTAAGTGACTGTACTGGGCCTTACCTGCAAGTTGTTGACAGTCTGATGTGTCAGTTGTGTGACAGAGTGTTGTAGCAGCTTGGTAGAGTCACTGTGGTCCTTGGCTAGTGTCACAATCATGTTGGTGTTGTAAGTGACTGTACTGGGCCTTACCTGCAAGTTGTTGACAGTCTGATGTGTCAGTTGTGTGACAGAGTGTTGTAGCAGCTTGGTAGAGTCACTGTGGTCCTTGGCTAGTGTCAAAACCATGTTGGTGTTGTAAGTGACTGTACTGGGCCTTACCTGCAAGTTGTTGACAGTCTGATGTGTCAGTTGTGTGACAGAGTGTTGTAGCAGCTTGGTAGAGTCACTGTGGTCCTTGGCTAGTGTCAAAACCATGTTGGTGTTGTAAGTGACTGTACTGGGCCTTACCTGCAAGTTGTTGACAGTCTGATGTGTCAGTTGTGAGACAGAGTGTTGTAGCAGCTTGGTAGAGTCACTGTTGTCCTTGGCCAGTGTCACTACCATGTTGGTGTTGTAAGTGACTGTACTGGGCCTTACCTGCAAGTTGTTGACAGTCTGATGTGTCAGTTGTGAGACAGAGTGTTGTAGCAGCTTGGTAGAGTCACTGTGGTCCTTGGCTAGTGTCAAAACCATGTTTATTGTTGTAAGTGACTGTACTGGGCCTTACCTGCAAGTTGTTGACAGTCTGACGTGTCAGTTGTGTGACAGAGTGTTGTAGCAGCTTGGTAGAGTCACTGTGGTCCTTGGCTAGTGTCAAAACCATGTTGGTGTTGTAAGTGACTGTACTGGGCCTTACCTGCAAGTTGTTGACAGTCTGATGTGTCAGTTGTGTGACAGAGTGTTGTAGCAGCTTGGTAGAGTCACTGTGGTCCTTGGCTAGTGTCAAAACCATGTTGGTGTTGTAAGTGACTGTACTGGGCCTTACCTGCAAGTTGTTGACAGTCTGATGTGTCAGTTGTGTGACAGAGTGTTGTAGCAGCTTGGTAGAGTCACTGTGGTCCTTGGCTAGTGTCAAAACCATGTTGGTGTTGTAAGTGACTGTACTGGGCCAGTCTGATGTGTCAGTTGTGAGACAGAGTGTTGTAGCAGCTTGGTAGAGTCACTGTTGTCCTTGGCCAGTGTCACTACCATGTTGGTGTTGTAAGTGTCTGTACTGGGCCTTACCTGCAAGTTGTTGACAGTCTGATGTGTCAGTTGTGAGACAGAGTGTTGTAGCAGCTTGGTAGAGTCACTGTGGTCCTTGGCCAGTGTCACTACCATGTTGGTGTTGTAAGTGACTGTACTGGGCCTTACCTGCAAGTTGTTTACAGTCTGATGTGTCAGTTGTGAGACAGAGTGTTGTAGCAGCTTGGTAGAGTCACTGTGGTCCTTGGCCAGCGTCACAACCATGTTGGTGTTGTGGGTGACTGTCCTTATCAACTGACTGTGTTGAGATTTGACCAATTCCATCATTTCCATGACCAGCCCGTCAAGATCAAGAGTCCTACAACAAACATAATCGTTATTGAAGTCATGTTATGATAGCAGACATTCTGTACCAACTCACGTATTCCTTCATTTATCTGGTCATTCCATAGATTTTCGAGATATCCAAACGTAGAGAGTTGCTGCTCTAGTCCTGAGAAGAACACTTTCTTGGTTTAATTTATATTTATCATGCCTTATTTATCGAAAAAAGTACTAATTTTCATTATTTAAAACTATCTACTGAAATTTTTGATTAGCTAGCTCCTTCTCCATGCTTATGGGCAGGAATGCATAGAATTACAGTTATGTTTTACACAAAAAATACTATAGGTTATTTTTTTACAAAAACATATTTTGGTTACCTGTTTGAAAATCCTTCAATTTTGTCCGAGAAGACATCAAAGATTTTCTCAAGCACTTGTGACAGTCGGGATTCCAGTCCTCGACAGATTCCTCCGTCAAAGCAGCTGTCCATGACTAAGTTTTGTGTCGCAGTCAGAGTGTCGAGTCTATCATCAACTTTACGACCAAGATCCAATAGTCTCCTTTGTAGCTTACGTTCTAATGCGTCTAAGGCAACCTCAAGGAAATCTGAGAACAGATTCATCAGTTGAAAATGAAATATATGACTAAGAATATTCGGTTGGTGAAATGTGTTTGGGACTAATTGCAAGAATAGCATGAAATCCAAAACCATGTAACATTCTTGCAAGAATCATTTCTTGGATTTGATTTGAACATTGTCCTTGATTTGCTTAATTAAAATGGTGCTGCATGGTAAAGTAAATAAGTTCATCTACCCTCTTGCTGATCTTAATCGCTTTTGTCGTTAATTTCACTCTCTCCTGTAAGTTTAGTGAAACATACTATATGACAAGCTTGACTCTCTTGGAAATTTTACTTAAACCCACTCCATGAACAAAATGAACCTCCACGAATCTTGTCTCTCTCCTGGAAAGCTGATTAAAACCCACTCCAGGACAGTCTAGCATTTAAGATGCTCTTGGAAAGTTAACTGATAATCACTCCATGATAATCCAACCTTACTATTCTGGGTTACTAAAACTCAATCCGTGAAAATCTAACTTTACTCTCTTGGAAAGCTTACAGAAATTCACTCTGAGTAAATCCAACTTTACTCTTCAGGAAAGCCAACTGAAACTCACTACATGAAAATATAATTTGACTTTCATTGTAAGCTCACTGATACTTACTCTCCTGTGAGTCTCCGGGGAAATCCCGATTGTCCGGGTGGATTAGGGATCTCACTTCCAGGACTTCTCGTTGTGTTGTGTTGGCGACCTTGTTTAGGTCCTTGACTAAAGATTCAACCGACATGACACGACGCCATAGGTCGTTGTACATGTTGTTGATCTGAAAATGAAAAACAAGAACTTGGTATGCTGAATGACTTGGTAGTTAATTGCTGTTCATGCTAAGATTAATCAGATTAGTCAATGGTGATAGAGAATAATGAATAAAATATTATCAACAGTCTAACACATAGGATGTATTCACGATTTGTGACATAGCTTCACTTTAAAATGCCCTAATTATTGGGAGCACATCAACATCCATTGACTTGACTTTGTTCATCCTCATTTTGTCTTAAATAATTGGAGTTATTGATAAATAACAATGTTGATGTACCAAAAAGTTTAATATTAGGGGAGATAATTGGAGATAAATGAAATAGTGAAGTTATAACTTAATATGAAAGCTCTTGATACTAATACTAAAATACACGTTCCAAATCCATGCTGCTAGGTTATGGTTGAAGCACTATTGAGAAATTCAACAGATGTGTAGTTTCAAAACGTTCTAAGGTTTCAATCTTTGGAACTTCTATTAAACTTTTATATTTTATACGGTATTTGATGTCCACTGTGGTGTACAGAGCTATATTTTCCAACCATATCCAATCTTTGGTTATCTGTCCCTTCATAACATTGTCCAGCAGGTGATAAAGTACTAAGAAATCATGTTCAATTTACATGTGGGTACGTCCATAAAACCCTATTGCTGCCGCTATCTGTACTCAGAAGATATACGCCAGGCTTTAGGCACCTTCATGTGGCTTTATGTTCCTACGTATGTTCTGATTGTTTTTGCACTCTGAATAACACACAATTCGTCAACTTCTCTTGCTTGAATACAACTCTGGTACCCCTAACATCTTAGTGACATGCTTACTTTGTAATTTCATTAAAACTAGCAGTTATCCGGCGCTAGGGATGTTGCGATACCACTGTCTTTCCGATATTTGGTATCGATACCGTATCGCAAAAAAGTATCGATACCGGCTCAGTATCGGAACTTAAGTATCGATACCGTCAGTATCGTATCCATTCGATACCAGTGACGTCATATTCTGATTCACTGATCTTCGATTAAAGTTCACTCGTTCCAGTACAGTATGCAGCCAATATAGGATTTGAATTCAAGCTGCTAAAAACTACCTAAATTATGTAAAACATTGATAAAATTAACCAAACATAGCCAACCATTGTTTTCAATTTTACTTTCAAGTATAAGTTCAAGAATAATAGAGATCGATGGTTCAAGTAGGCCTAAGCTTACCTTAAGTTCTAGGCCTATATAATTTATCTTTTCAATAGACAATGTTATTTAATTACCAACGTAACACATTCGTGTTTACCTTACCATCAGCCTACTAAATAAAAAAAAAGTTTTTTAGTTAAATAACTTTAAGTGCCATCTTTTTAGTTCATTTGATGTTAAATAGTCCATGGTTTCATTTTATTTGCCTAACACAACTTTGCTAACATTGACTTGTAACAAATATAACTCTGCAACTAAACCCTTAAGTTCGATCATTGACTAAATATACGTCTGTAGGTATATATAGTCAATGGTTTTACTTATAGTTATGTAAAGTTCTATGAAAAGTGAATCATAATTTACTCAAACCACATAACAGACAAGCTAGATAAACAAAAATATTTAATTGGGTTAAAGTTTGTTTCTTTTTTGGGTCACTGTTGTTCCAGCCTTGGAAAATAACCACTCAGAAGGCACGAGTGTGGCCATTTTACTCAGATTTGTCAGAAATTACCTTCCGATACTTACGATACGATACTGGCCTCTTGGTATCGATACCAAGTAAATATCTGAACAACCGATACCGATACGATACCAGCAGTATCGCAATAAAAGTATCGATACCTACTGGTATCGATAGTATCGCAACATCCCTATCCGGCGCGTGTTGCTGCGCTAACAACAATGATTTTAAATGGTAATTTGTTCTTTACGATAAATAATAAAGATATATACCAAAAGCGAAAATAAACTAATGTTACATAACATAAACAATGTTTTTTTGTTTTTTCATTTGGTGTATACATATATAAGTTTTTAGGTGTACCTACCACCTCGTGAGCACGCAACATACAGCTGTCCGTGTGGAAAGCATGCATTTTCTAAATTTAAACCATCAATAGTCAGGGATTGCCATTGTGCCTTATAATGGTGATTGAAAAAGCATGACACAAAGGAAATTGTAGTCGCTTGAATTCAAATGGTAATTCGGATGAAATCATCGGTATTCAGGAATATGAATTTCTCCCTTAAACTATTACTGATGATTGTTACTTCGATCAAGTTTGGTGTCATTTTTTCATTCGTCAGTCTAGTAACGTTACACAGCCTTCTGTGGATTTACGTTTCGCATTAGTATTATTAGAGTTCCTTCTTTTGAATGACAGTAATGAGGTGGGTTATTGACTATTTGGGAGGCATTTGAATACCTGAGATAGCACACACGATTATTATTCACTTAATAATTTATGTTACATTTTGTGGGTATATAGCAAAAGATAAAAATATTAAGGTATTGCCATCCCTTTTATTGTTGTAATCTATACTATTATAAAGAAGAGGTGGTGTCTGTGTGTGTGTGTGTTTGTATGAGCTAATCTCAAAAACTACTGAACCGACTGGGCTCAAATTGCACAAAAATGAAGCTACAGCTCCGAGGATACATATAGAACTATTCCCGCTTCGATATTGTCCTAGGGCTCTACCCCGTGGGCTTTCAAAAATTTGAGGTGAGAGATTTAAAAGTAAATATTGATTGATGGTATCCATGGTAACAAAGAACAAACCTACAAAGTTTAAAAATGTAAACAAGCAGAACTAACTGTCAAATGAATTTTGATTTCATAATTCCACACAGCTGGTTCAAACATATTGAATATTGCACGAACATTAGAAAACAGAGGGTAAGGATTATAAATTTAAAATAATGATGTCACTAGCCTGAACGTAAACATTATTTAACATTACTTAATGGAGCTGTCAAACCGTATGTTAATGTAATTTGAATTTCATTAGTATATGATTCTTTCAGTTACTTCATTTGTTTAAGTTTATTATCTATTATACTGAGTCTGTTCTAAATATTTGTGAAATAATATTTTACAGGGAATAATTCGTTGTAAAAAAAATTGTTCATGGATATAGGAAATAATTAAGATTCTATAATCATTGCCGTATCAATCTAGGCTCTTATCCTGAGTTTTATGAGGTTATTTTTTTATTTTTTTTGTGTAAACAGTAATAACCACCCTGCCGCAGCTAATCTATAGACTGAGCCAATTTCCATTTGCCTGATTATAATTTCACTAAAATATGTTATAAAATTACCCTATTTTCCATATTTATTTCTACTTTCCCTTTTTTTCAATTTGGAACTATTGTGATAGTTTTTCGTTTAAAGTGCAAACCATGAAATACTTTTTTTTATTATACCTTAAAATCTATCTTTGGTTTTGTATCGTAGGTATCATAATAACCCCACCACAGCAATCCTGCAGCCAAAGCAAATTTCCATTTGTGTGACTTAATTTTCAATTAAATCTAATTCAATAACATTAGGTTTAACGAGTACCTAGGTTTTTGCTGCCTACAGGGAGGGAAACGAAGTGTGATTTTAAGGAACATATCATTAGCTTACTATAAAATAAATAAATTTGCCAAGTTTGATAAAAATCGATCCATAAACAAGCAATACTACAACAGTTTACTTATCCTACTAATATTATAAGTCATAAAGTTTGGATGTACGGATGTATGGATGGATGGATGTTTGTGACAAGTAAACACAAAAAATACTTAACTAACAAGGTTGAAATTTAGTATGATGATAGCTGACATTCCCGATTAACATATAGACATATATTCTAATAACATATATTCTTACCTCAAAAATCCTTTCAGGCTCCGCCCCAAAGGCTCTGGCTCTGGAGTTTCTCATGTAAACCTTATGAGTATTCATATTTAAAGAAATTAAAGAGTTTTGTCAGCCGTTTCAACTTTACAAGTTGGTTCTATGATATTAAATAGCATTAAAAAAGTATAAGGCTTACCAACAGGGTGCAGCACTATTATGTTTTTTGCATTTATGACCACAACTAACTTTAACCAACTAGCAACAAAAAATTGTAGTACAAAATGAGAACTTAACTTTTTTCATGGTTTAGGTTCAGTGGTAGAAAATTAGGGCTATGGTAGATACTGAAGGACACCATAGGATACCGTATAAATTAAAAGACCAAATTTTCTTAAACCGTGTTCTCTCCCATAACTACAATAAGCATTTATACTTATATGCCAACCCCGTACGAAGGACGGGTACTCTGCTAGTACTTTGATAAAGGTCTTTACTTTTTATGTTTACATGGAGAATTTAAACATTGTTGAGTGCACAGGTGTGCTGCGATTGGGGTTTAAAATATTTGGACTTATCCAAAAGTAAAATAGTTTTCTGTGCTGCATCCTGTAGAAACAGTGTGGCACTATTTAAAATCATGACTAATACAGAATGTTGTGATTATTCAAACCTACAAAACAGTTGGTGAAAGTAAACATCTGCTTTTAAATTATATCTATTTATAAACATTGTAGTTCCTAAAGTCTGACATTGTCCCACTTAAAACCCTCTGGGGTGGAGCCCTTTTGACGGATCTGCCCCAAACTTCACAAAAACCATCCTAGAATAATGCCTGAAAGTTTCATTACAAGCTGTTTCAGAGTCCATAGGGTAACATACATACAAACTTCCTCTTTTACAGATATAGATGGATAAAATTGTTGTGGTTTTTAACTGGTTTGAATTGTTTTTTATTTTCCTTGTTATGCAACTTCCCTCTTACCTGAAGTATGCTATACAAGATTTCATTTCACTCACCTTGCTAGTTATCTTGGTCCCCTCGGAGCCAATCTCCCTCCTCAGGCTGATTAAGACATCGGTGGTCGGAGGTCCGTCGTTCTGACTGCTCCACACTCCAATTGGTGGTAGTGATCCGTTGAGTCTGGATCCGAGATGCTCCAAGGATCCGGATATCTTTTGCAGCTCTTCCTGATTTGGAGATATCAGCTTCTGGAATCAAGCCAAGAGCTTCAACAACTCTTATCCAATAATCCTATCCGGTTGGCTGTCCAACAACAATTGAATGAGAAATTTTGCTCACAATTTGGTAAATGAACTATCTTGTGAAAGAATTAGTGAGCAACAGGAAGAATTTAGATCCGTTGAGCCTAGATCTAGGATTCTCCAAAAACAAGGGAACATTACAATTTTAGAGAGTTTTCAGACTGTGATGCTGTCACTTTTTCCATATTACAGAGTCCCTTGCAGCTATGAGGACCTAAAAATATGATTATATTGTAAATTGATTTTATTCTAAATGTCATAGAAAGAAAACAATTTGGCCATCATGACAATTCTTATTTGCAACACTCATTGCTTCTATTGTAAAACTAATTCTTCCCATAATGTAATATACAATTTTCTTTTTTTTGTTTACCTGGATATGTTGTTGAATAATCCTGTGTGTGTTGTTGAGTTTGTCCTCGGCTGTTGACGATTGACTTTTGAGATCCTCCAACAGGGTGACTGCTTCCAGCACTTCTGTCTGGACATCTTCTTGCTGCTTTTCTAGTCTGTTGAGACTGGCTTCAGTTGTCATCTGTAATAGTGGAGTATACTTATTTTGTTTTTTTGGGTATCAGTTGTCAATAGTTAGTTATCTCTGTCTCACAAAACCTGTAGATATCTCTTAGTGTGTCTAGCAATATTAGCTGGTGTCTAGAGAAAATTCTATTCGTCGTCCCCACCCGCTCTTCTTCCTCCCCCTCGTATACACTTACTACAGTGCTTGTACGCTGTAGGAAGACCCTCTGCTGTTTAAAAATGCTTTGTGGCCATCACCGTTCAGGCTCTTCCTGGCTCATTACAAGTACATATACACCCCAACATACCAGAGATAAAAGCGCACAGTTGTCCCATAAGCTTTTACCTCTGTATCTTACCTCTATGTGACAAAAAATTTGTAGCTTTAGTAGCTTTGTAAGTTTAAAGATTGTAAATAAAGTGTATGCAAAAATCGTAACTTTCTTACTCTTTTTATGGAAACCAAACAATCAAATAATTCTCTAAAGGTAACTTCGAAAGCCTGAGGGTGGATCTTTAAGGGGTGTTTTAGGTTCAGGAATTATACAAAAATATATCCAGGCATATTTATCAAATTTTCACGGCAATAAAGTGGATGGTTTGGCAATGTTGGAAGGGCAGATGCACAAAATTTTTATATTTTGTTTTATACTTTAAAATATTTATTTAAACATCACGATTTGTGTGTGAATATAAATATCTGATAGCTCTAAAGCTAAGCATCCAAGTTAGATTTATACGTTGAAGGCCTAACCTGTATTTTTTTCAAGACCATCTCCAGCTTTTCCTCTGTGTAGCTGAGCCTTCGGTTGTAACGGTCGTAGTTCGAGTCCATCACATCCCGTATCTTGTGGGATAGTTTCTCTACGGTCAGTTCATCTTTGAGCTCCTTCGAGTTGAGATTCTGCAACAAGCCAGACATATTGTTATCCCAAAGATTGTTAGGACAATTGTGTTAATGTAAATTAATTATGTTTTTATGATTTTAAGTTTTCAAAGATAGTTAGTATTTTGTTGTTACACCATAAAATGTTGTTAGGCCTGTATATAAAATCCAATTTGAGCTAAGTTTTGTTATCTGAGCTAAGTACAGCAGTAAAAAGTCAGTCATTTGTTAGTAACATTGCACTTAATTAAATGCTTTTAATTTTGTCTTAAAATATGCATTTTTGTAAATAATCCACTGTTTTGGTGAATTATTCCGTATTTATAATGAATACTGTAGGTGGCACGGTAAGACCTAGACCCGGGACCGATTTACTTTTTCATTTTGATGTCCCAGATGCCAGAAACGTTATTCATAGAACATTTTATATATGTATATATATAGGGTTATATATGTGTCCGTGAACGCGATAACTCGAGTACTTTTTGTCCGATTTTGATGAAATTTGGTTCTAAGGTGTAAGGTGGGATAAGGTTGAATGAGTTCGTGAACCAGCGTGATTAAAAACCCACACTTTATTAGTTTCCTTGGTGCAGCAAACCTAGGTACTCGTTAAACCTAATGTTATTTAAATAGATTCAATTGAAAATCAATTAGGACAAATGGAAATTCGCTTATTCGGCAGGTTTGCTGCGGTGGGGGTATGAATAAATCGTTCACCAATGGTTGAGATATCTTGACATTGAACATGTGTTAAGTCTGTTTGTTTAAAGTAACTACCCTTCTCACAACTGACTAAACAAACAAGAAACAAACAAATAGACAAACTTCTTCTGTAACTAGAGCCCTGTGGCTTCTTATCAAACTACTTCCTTAAACTGCCCTTCAAAAGTTATGCTTGCATCAAAATCAGTTAAACAATTTATCCATATCCTCCAAATTCTTTTAAAATATTTTGGACAAAAACTAGATCGGAAAAATTGACTTGAGTGATATTTGAAGTTCAATTAAATTTTTTATGCAAATTAGTGTTTCAAACTATTGCCTCATATGGTACTTAGCTCTAACATACACAGAAGATGCTGTTAAAAACTAAGCATATACAGGGTGTTTTTTTAAAAACTTGCATCTTTATTTATGTAAAAACCGCAATAGATAGAAATATGCAGTTTGCGGGAATCATCTATTGACGTAGAGGGCCCAATCGTTTTGAATTCAACGTTACATTCACATTCCCCCCCTTTCCCCCCCTGCCACCAACTTAATTTTTTTAAATAGCAAGGTACCCCTTGTGACATATCAAATGAAAGAGCATAAAAAAAGAAAATGTTTGATGAAAAAAAATTAAAAATCGGTTCATAAATTTGCGAGATATTTCCACCCCCCCTCCCCGGAACTTAATTTTTTTTTAATAGCAAAGTACCCCTGTGACATATCAAATGAAAGAGCATGAAAAAAGAAAATGTTTGGTGAAATTTATTTTTCATTTGATATGTCACAAGGGCAGGGACCTTGCTATTAAAAAACATGTTATGGGTAGGAGAAAAGGGGGGGGGGATTATCTCACAGATTCATGAGCCGATTTAAAAATCTTTTTCACCAAAAGTTTTCTTTTTTCATGCTCTTTCATTTGATTTGTCACAACGGGTACCTTGCTATAAAAAAAAAATAAGTTCCGGGGAGGGGGGGTGGAAATATCTCGCAAATTTATGAACCAATTTTTAATTTTTTTTCATCAAACATTTTCTTTTTTTATGATCTTTCATTTGATATGTCACAAGGGGTACCTTGCTATTTAAAAAAATTAAGTTGGGGGCAGGGGGGAAAGGGGGGGAATGTGAATGTAACGTTGAATTCAAAACAATTGGGCCCCCTACGTCAATAGATGATTCCCGCAAACTGCATATTTCTATCTATTGCGGTTTTTACATAAATAAAGATACAAGTTTTTAAAAAAACACCCTGTATAGCTTTGCCATAATGTTTTGTTTTATGAAAAAAAAGGAATGGAGTATCATGTTTATATATTTTGTTTTGGGCTATTGATCTCTATAATTTTATTTCTATAGTTTTTAGATTATACATTGGAAAATCATAATTTATGAAGATAACCAATACAGTATACAGTACTAATTCTTATATAAATTTGGGCACTGGTTGTCTACTAGTTGGTGTTTTGGAAGCATTTGTTCAGATCCCATCAAACACTTATGGCTTTTATTTATGTGATAATAACCTAGGCTCACAAATATAGAAATTAAAAGAAAAGGTGAGCAAGAACATTCCATGTATTGGATTTGGATAACTTCTCCGCACAAATTCATAATATTTAACAATTTAATCTGGTAAAAAACCATCCAAAGATTAAAGAGTGATATGCTCTGAGCCTTCGGTTGTAACGGTCGTAGTTTGAGTCCATCACATCCCGTATCTTGTGAGATAGTTTCTCTACGGTCAGTTTAGTCAGGCATACTAAAGTATTATTCCCACCATGTTAAGAAACTCATATTACAAAACACAATACTTCAAAGAATTAGCCAGAACTTAAATCAAACCTTGTTCTACAAAGAGATTCTAAAACAACTAGGTCTACAATAAAACAATAAATAAACAAACCAAATAAACAATAGAAATAGCAAAGAGAACAGCTGTGAGCAAGAATGCTGACAGAATCTAGACAATGTAGTCGAAGATTCTTTAGATGTAGGATTAGGTTTGAAGAATCCTACCACTAATCTAAATAAAAAACAACACTGACTGAAGCAGTACCAATTCAATGAAACTTTTTAAACTATTTCCTTTATAGAATCAGGAAACCTTTTCTAAATGCTGACAAATTTAAATCTAATTAATTTACCATAAAATATTGAAAAAATTAATTGAGAGTAGCTTAATATATTTATAAAAAATCTTAATCCCAGACCACATTTTAATAAATTTAAAACTAATTCAAATGGTAAATTGCGCACCAAATATTTTTGGCCATTTGGTTGATAATTGTTTGAATTGGAATGGCGAAGGAAACAACATTCTATCCAATCTATATTCAGTATCTTTGCCTTTTGGAAAGGGGCAACATTATGTAATGAAAATTACTTTTTTTAATAAATATCCTTATGGCAAAATATTCTATGAATGTGATTTTAATCTATCTGTCTATAAGTTTTTTAGTACAATAAGTATTTAATCTGTAACATCCCTTTTTCAGTCGCTCTATTTATCTGATTTTCACAATTGAGGTGTCATTTCAAAGCTTATGATCTATCAAAGGGATGAATGGTAACTAAAATGTCTTCTTTAGGATTTTGCCCCTCTAGTGTTTGATTTATTTCTAGAGTTTGCTTTCCAAGGTTCAGTGGTGCTGACTGATCTTTCTTAATATCTGTTTAAATGGGAAATGTACAAACAGCAGCCCTCAGTTTAATGTTTATCCACCTAGTTAGATTGTAAACAAGAGACAAAACAGTTTATGAAAATGATTTTTAAATAGACTTCTTTATTGATAACTGTAACTTGATAGAATATTTCAATCTCTCCTAATAGTGTAGATTGTAGATCCAAAAAATTAAATTTATTCGTAAATTAGTAGTCTTATTAACCTAATAACTGTCTCAAACCATTATCTTTAAAGAGTAAAAGATTATTGCACTGTTTATTTTGCCTCGGAAATGAGTTTTGCACCCTATAGAAATAAATATGCAATCCATGCAGGAGCCCCCTTGAGTATAAAAATTACTAAATTTGTAACGATTCATAAACTTTCAACACCAGGAAAATAATACTAATTTGTAACAGACATTGTTTAAAAAAATCATATGCAGAGGTTTAAATTGTTAGGGCATTACTAAAAAAAAATAAAAAGTGAAGGAATATATAAATTAATAAAATAAAATTAAATTAAAGGATTTGATTGATTCTAAGGCTTAATGTAACAATAGTGAACGATAGTAGTAAAATTGTCCTATGGCCAACACTGGACTTCACCTTAGTACCTTTCTGGCTGCATTAAAAAAAATAAATAGAAACCTATAAGAAAGGAAGAAAGCAGACTTTGCTCATCATGTAATTTCCTCAATGATTTGTACAAAATACGTAAATCCAAGCAATACATGAAGCATATTTAAATTTTGAAAAAGAAAGGCTACAGACCCGATACTTTCTATCACAGTTGGTGATATTCAAGATAGCCGGAGGTCACTAATCTCTACCTGTGACCTCAGGGTGGGCATTAGTGACCAGATTACATGCAAAGTGGGCATATAATGGTCCAACTGGTTTGGGATGCATCATCAAAAGGAGTGATTTTGGTTTGATGAACGAGATTAGGCCTGCTCAGGAAGCACATTCAGATGTTGAGATTCCAATGCTAATCAGATTTATGGCTCGAGATTTTTCGGATTTAAGATCTATCGGGATTTACTGGAAAACTGGTTAGGTAGAGTGGTTATAGGACTCGCCTAACAATCCAAAGGTTGCTGGATCGATCCTGAGAAAAGTCATTTGCTAATATGGTTTGAAAATGGACACAGCTGTCCCTGGTTATTGGGTTTAAAATAAAATGATCCTTGCTGATTTCAGGCAGTAACAAAGTTATTTAAATCATCTCGCTACTTTCTTCACTTATTGTACCCTTCTCTCTTATTTAGGTTAAAATAAGCACCCTCTAGTAGGTTGCATCCCCATTTTTGTATAATACTCTTGGGGGTTTTTCTTTCAGTTTTAAAATTGTTTCAATGCTTTATCTTATTTTTTTAGTTATTCAGATTTTTTTTTCAATTAATATGTAAGAATTTAGGGTCACTGAGGCAGATTGAAAACTCATTTTTTTACTTTTGTAATCTTCCTGATTTTGATTTGGGTAGTAATTATTTAATTGAGTTTTCTATATTAATCGATCACAGTGATATCTACAAACACACTCATCATTTGAAAATAGATTGGTCATGGATACAATTCAAAATACAAATAATGTTTGGTTTAAAATTTTGTTGTACAAAATGGATTTGGATTTCAAAAAATTGCTGACACTTCTATCAAGGAACAATTTAGGATATAGATATATTTAGTGGAAAAAACTATACACCTACCCTCTCCAGCTTATCCAGTCGGTCTTGAAAGGTGGAGTCGAGTCTTCGGATGGAAGATTCTAAAGTTTCCAGTCGCTGTTCTGTTTGTCTCAAAGTCATCTCCCATCTTGCGTTTTCCAGGGTCTGGAGTCTCTCATCTATGGACACCATCAGTCCATGTAGGGTCTGAAATAAGAGTGTCATGCCACAAGATCAGAGAATAAAATACCCTCGCCGCAACAAACCTGCAGACTAAGCAAAATTCCATTCGCTTAATTGCATTTTCACCAAAATATTTTTTCCAGAAGTTGTCAGTTTTACTCCCTATTTAAAGAAAAATACCCCCGCCACAGCAAACCTGCAGATTAAGCGAATTTCCATTTGTCTGAATTGATTTTAAATTAAATCTATTTAAATAACATTAAGATTTAACGAGTACCTAGGCTTGCTGCTACAGGGAGGCTAAAAAATGTGTTTTTTAAGTAAAATATTAGCAGCTTAGTATAAAATAATAAATTTGCCAAGTTTGATCAAAATGTTTCCATAATAAGCTACACATAACAAACTACAACATTTTACAATATTCTCCATAAGAATAACATGGGAATTTTAAATTTGGAATTTTTGGAATTTTCTCCGTAACTAATAACCGTACAAAAACACTCTGGTATATACTAAAATATTTGATTTTTAAGCGCTTTAAAATGGTCTAGAGAGAAATTGGTAAATTTTGTGTTTTTAGGGTCAAAAATGAGAAATATACCAATTTTTACCCCATAAACCCCCTGTAAAACCCTGTTCCCATGGTCCAATCATGCTGGTTCATTTTAAGTTTATCTCGCCTTACACCTTCAAACCAAATTTCATTAAAATCGGATAAAATTACTCAAGTTATCTTTTTTACTAACTATAATAAATCTACATATAAATCTATATATATATATATATAGGCCTATATATATATATATATATATATATATATATATATAAAATTTTAACGAATAGTGTTTTTCGCCTCTTGGGACATCAAAATGAAACTGTATATCGGTTCCAGCTCCAGGTTTTACTACGGTAATAGCTACTTACCTATAGGAGAATTCGCTAAAAGGTATTAGGCTCAACAAGCACTTTAGGTTTGCTGCTACAGGACATAGTGTGTTTTTAATAAAATAATAATAGTTTAATAAATAGTTTAGCATTAAATAAACTGGATAAGTTTGATCAAAATATACCTATAAGCAAGCAAACTACAATAGTAAACTTACTCTCCCTAAGAACATTGGTATATCAATTTAACAGATTTTTTACAATTTTCTCAGTAACCATTAGGTGTACAGCAACACTTCTTCAATAATAAATTATTTGCTTTAATCTCTTCATGATGCTGCTCTTTTTGAACTTGTTTGCATAAATGTAGGTTTTTTGGTTTTACAGATTTGATCTAAATCGCATGATTTTTGCTTGAGTTATTGAACACACACACACACACACATAAATTATCACACCCTTCTTGTGATTGGAACAGCAGCCTCCAGATTTGAAGGCGAGCACTTCCACCAAGCTAACCATACTATTGGTTTGTACAAATGGAACGTATACCTAGTAACTTACGATTCAAATCCAACCAAAATCACGTATTTTCCAATAGGTCTTCTGAGATACAGAAGCCAACTATATAGGATTTCAGTTAAATAATAAGTGTCTCAAATAAAATTATCGTATTAATAATTAAAATAGAAAAGAGCTTGAATAGCCTACGTGTATCACATTCTAAAAGTCTCATCCAGTTATGTTCTCTTTTTGATTAAAAACTGACTACAGCAGGAGAAGCTCCTTCAACTTTAGTATCCAAAGACGATATTCATTCAAATCACCAACGGTTTCCCAAAATTAATTAACATTTTACTATAAACACTCAGATAACCTTGATTTATACTTCACTATCCAAAGTCAATGTGTACATTCAAATGACTAACCGTTTCCCAGAATTAATGCATTATGTTCCAATAATTATTTACTCGCATGATATATTTATGAGACGACAAAGAACGTTTCATCGGCACACAGAAGGACCTAAGTCAACAGTTAGCAGGCGAAATGCTCTGTGATAAGATATGGACAGTTCACGGCGTTATCAACAAAGAACTTCTGTGTGGCGTTGACGCCGCCTTGGGCAAACATGTCACATGGGACCTGGGCGATGCAGCAAACAGCTGGTAGCGGTGCTAAAATGGTTGCAAAATTCTTTGAGATCCGTGTTTGTATTGTTTACATCTTCGATTGTGGATAAGAGATCAATATGGACCAACTGTAGCTAGTTTAATCAATTAAATCATCTTTGAACAGTCCTTATCACAGATTAATACACCCCTTATAGACACACGTTCATCATGGAACAGGTAAACACTACAAAGTAGCAAAAAATGTTCTCTAGAATAAAATTGAATATACATAAAAGCTCATTCAAACGTAACAAGTATGTAAACGTTTACAATAGAATATTCGTTCTGTCAATGTTGATGTAAAAGGTAAAACAATCGTGTAACAGAAGCAAATTTTGTCGCTGCTCGGTGTATTTACTGTGAATTACGGTGAATTTACGGTGTAGTTACTAGCAAGTTAAGTAGTAAGCTGGTAATCGTATGTCTACCCGGAAGTATAGCCTATCTCCAATCTAAGGAAAGCCCGTGTGATTATTTTTATATGTAAATATTGTAATGTATCACATTGTGTCAATGTATCTACTGTCTATCTTTATAATTAATTCAGTACGGGGGTGTAATCAAGGCCCCACTACTAGTGGAGCCTTGGTGTAATATACCTTTCCCAGCTGTCCTTCTTAACCGATATTCACGATTGATGTGTCATATTAAAAAACTTGATACAGTGCACTTGCGAATAATATAAAAAAGGTAATTTCCTTAAGGGCTTCACCCCCTTGCGTTAAATTATTTCTACATATGTTCCTATAGTTGGATGTTTAACCACATGTTTGTAAACAAGAGACAGACGAAAGTTTATGAAAATGTATTTTAAATTGGTTATTTGTTTTAATAACTGCAACCTGAATGATGCAGGTTAATCACTCTCCAGTCTTTATAGTTTGGATCTAGTTCTTTGAAAATTAAAAGGGTATCATTGTTTTCACCTTGGAATTAAGTTCTGAACCCTAAATGCACAATTTGTGCATGGGTCCCTCGTACAAATTATTTTATATATCCACACGGACGAGTCCATAATCGTTTACATTACCAAAATCCGCATGAAATGTATTTCTATTTTCATATTTGACATCAGTCATCGCCCTCTTCAATTCCTGTCGCGTTGCGTCGCAGCTGCCGGCATTTCTCATTTCACGCAGTCAGAAACGTATATTTATAGAGCCTTCAGAGTTTCGCCATCCGTGCAATGTCAATACGGCATACGCATCATGGACGTGCGAACGCACCGCCGAATATGCAATGGCAAAACACGGACGTGAATGTTAAAAACTTCTTTGTCAACTGAACCGACATGTTTTTGTAGTTTTAGAATGTTATATGCTATGTTTATGGGGTTTCGTAGATACGGAAGTAGACCACGTATGGGAAACATTTGTGTTAGCACCATCATATGGTTGTCGTTGTCGTATCTACGAGAGGGTCGCTGTGTCTTCACCTCTTATGGTTTACCAACAGACGAAAACACTGTGTTCGATTATATGACGGCATAAAACTGTATACAAAAATAAAATCTTCAAATTGTACAATATCGTTCTCCATAAACCTATGAGTAAGCCACGAAAACTTTAGAAAGATTTGTTTAAGCTGTTTTTTTACAATATGAACTTCAATGTTAGTGTGAAATTTTTCAAACCTGTACTTTTAGGGTGCTAACTTATATTAATTGTTCTGGCTAGCGGAAAATTGTTTTATTGTTACCACGTAAAATGTATCTAAACTATCTTCAATTTGATTTAATTATCAGCACAGTTAGATGATACATCTCATATATATTAGTCTAAATTTAAGTAGCCAACGCATAATTCTTTCCTCGACAGTACGTGTTGAATAAAATCCGATTTTCAAAAACAAATTTTCCATGCACGTTGTAAACTTACGCATATTTACATGAATCATACTTGGTAACGGAACTGAACTACTATTTTTGTTATGGGTTTGCAGTAAAGACTTTTCTTATATTTTTTACCAAAGAAGTATAAATATTTTAACTACAACTAATTGTGTATCAATATAGCGGAAATACTACCGTACTACATAAAATACATGTATGTATTTCGATTCTACTGTAGTAAGTTGTAATTATAATTAAAACATATTGTAGCAGGGTTTCTGTTTAAATGTACCAACTCACACTCGCGAAGTATCACAAGTTTACTCATAGGAAGAAGTCATATGATAATTTCAATTGTTTTTGTATTGAAATTGTGTAATGTTTGTTCTCAATCTTGTTGCTTGTCATACTCGGGTGTTACGTTTATTTTTTCCAAAAAGGAATTGGGGGAACATTCAACCAAACTATGTTTAGTTAGCTATAATTAATTCTTTCTTTAGTCGTACTTCGTATTTATTCTTTCCAATCGATTCAGATCCTCTTCGTAACGATGGCTATCGTAGAGATGAGTAAATATAAATATTACTCGCAGATAGATTACTATCGATATCTAAGGATTTCCTGCTTTTAGTGCAGTCAAGATTTGATTATGATTGATACGTTGTTTTAGCATAATGGTGTCCGACTTTCGGGTTGTATCGGAAAAATTGAGATGGTATTGGACTCTTCTAACTCTCGCAAATACATTTTTTATTTTCAAACAATGCAGTTTTACTCCATGATGCAATAGTGGTAATCGTTTTTTATTTGTACCTAAAAGTAGCATTTGAAATATTACACTTTCTTGTGATGATATACAGTATTGTACTTCAATATCCAATCTAAAGATCTCTATGTTTATGTTCGTGTATTACACAAAAAGAATGAGTTATCAACAATTAATTTCGTCCTACTGAAATAGACGTACATAAAAAATACAAATATCTTGATAAGCCACTCACAGAACTTGATACAGTCGAAAATTATATTCTATCTCTTAATTTATCTTCCCATGATAGTTGATAGACATAAGTGATGATATTGTTTAAAATTGTCCTCTTGGCTTGGCAGAAAGGTGGCGTATTTGACAGATATTTGTAATTTACATCTGTGTAGTCTGTCAGAGTCTGTCAGGAGCTAAAACTACATACCTGTTCTAAAAATTGTTACAATATTAACATGGAAATTGTATGTCTAGATTCATCCTTGCATAGTATTTTAAATTCCTTTTTATTACTTTGTCAGCAAAGCTGGTAATCTTATGTATACATGTTAGCCCTTGTCAAAAAGAAAAAGCGATTCCTCTCGTTTACCGCATGTTTGGAGAAGCGGTACTCGGTACATTTTAACAGGAGCCCAACAATAATTGCAATAACGGTAATCTTTCAAATTATGGGCAAATCGTGGAATTTGATCAAGAAATATACAATTAATAAGGTACTAAACAAAACGCTCAGTTTCGGAAATGGCAAAATACCTGATATTAGATCACCATGGTTGTTATGGTCCGAAGTCGAGTAGGTAAGTAAGTAAGGAATAATGTTGACACTGAAAAATCAATAAAAAAACTGTATTTGCTAAATTATTGCTAACGTAAAATCAAATAAATCGTCCACTTTTATTTTAATATACTGAAAGTAAATTTCCATTTTGTGTTTGATTTCTTGTACTGACCAGGAATAAAATTCAAGTTATAAAAATAATAAGATTATGACTAACTTGGGAGCTAGACAGTTAAAATGTTTTTGACTGACTAGTGTATTTTATGTTGCTCAAAATCGAGCAATTGCAAGTATTACAGAATTTTTTTATAACGAATAGCAGTAATAATTTCCGATGAGTTTGTAATATAAACTCAAAGATTACTCACAATGTACATAACAGTTCAATTGTTCGATATAATCAACATTTCTTGTAAATATTGTATCATTTTTCAAAAGCTGATCTTGTTTTTTTAGCATTTTCTACAGATGTTTCCTACTCATAGCCGCATTAGGCTGTCCATGTTTACCTTCGTCATTGATACTTTAGCCTTCGGTACTACCATAGATTTCAAAAACCTTACTTTGATGTACGATGGTGTACGACGGTCTATGGTCTATAGCTTTCTTAACACTCTTTTCGGTTTTCACTAAAATCATTAATAACGTCTGAAAAGTCAAGTGAATTTCACCAATTCATAACTAAACCAAAAATCTAGAATTAATATTATTTTTTCACTTTGATTTTGTAATTAACTAAATGTAGGCGGAATGGGCCCTGCGACTAGAGTGGCACCATCCCCACCCTTATGAAAATACCTGTTGTGGAGGAGAGCGTATCCATGTTGAAGTGTCCGGAGCTGCTTCAGTTATCACCAACACTGCTATCAACACACAAACACCCGCGTGCGCGGTCATGTTCCCGCCAGATTCCACACAGCTGACTGCCCAGTGAGGCAGCTGATCACAGACTGACTGACCATAGCCCCCGCAGCAGTCACCTGCCCCTCCCACCACCTGGCCACTGAATGGAGGATCGGTTGATTGATGAGGGCGAGAGTTTTGTAGCACGCGCCACTGTCAGGTGGCAAAGTGGTTTTGTGGTTCTTTCCATGAGGGTTAGCGAGCGGCTTCTGCTTTGGAGGCGCGAGTTCGAATACAGGAAATCGCCAATATTTCTGTTGGTCGGAGATCTGAGTTTAAGAGTATATGGAGTCAAGGCGTGCTAAGTCATTAAAAAACTAACAAAACAATGAAAATGTCTAATCTCATAGTTCCCTGGGTATTTAAATTACAATAACTTTGGTATTTGAAAAAAATATTTTTTTAGAAGGTAAATAACTCCTCAGTGAATGTTTGAAATTAACATTGCTCTTGTGGGTAAGTCCAAGATGGCCATTAGCCTCCCAAGGACTCCCTTGGAAGTGACAAAACTAAAAAGACATTCCTAATCTCATAGTGCACTGGGTATTTAAATTACAATAAATTTAGTATTTGAAAAAAATATTTTTGGATGGTAAATAACTCTTCAGCAGTTGTTTGAAATTAAACCAAGATGGCCGCTAGCCTCCAAGGACTCTAGAACCAATCTCAAGCTGTAGAATGTGTTAAAAGGAAAAAAAGTAACACTATGACTGAAAAGTAAACATAGCATTCCCATGTCACTATAGATTTTTACTGTAGTTTTATAGGCACTCCATTCCAGTATGGCCAACATTTTACAAGGCGCTCCCCAGGGCCGATTTACCGAATAGGCAAGGTAGGCACGTGCCTAGGGCGCGAGGCAATTGGCTTTTTTGGGGTTGGCAGCACTGACTGCATGTGATTAAGACTACTGGTACGACAGCTCCCACATTTCTAGCAGTTTTAGTGGATTTATTGACGTTAGAAGACTTAATTTTGTGTTTAAAAGATTATTTAGTGTCCGCATAAGATTAACTAGCTATCAGCCCGAAGCTAATCGTGTGCCGAGGCAAATAATCGAAATATTGTGGTGCGTTGTGGTGGTGCGGCCGAGCGGGTCTGTGCGGGCGAGTGGAACAGTGAGGACACCACGTGGTGACAGACATTTTGAGGTTATATGTCCGACCGCAAAATCAGTGATTATTTTACTCCTCGTAGATTTAAACGACATAGATACTCTAGTTCACCAGAGTTGGAATCGAACACAAACCCTGACAGGCGTGCTAGGTTGACGTGCGATATGGATAGTGTAGCAGTAAGCAGTTTGACTATGGGTCAATTGTTAGAGGGACTAAATGATAACATAAGTAGACTACTAGACCAAAAACTCGCTAATCTAGCTTCCAAGCAGGATTTAGTCACCTTATCGATGGAGGTTAGTAACCTTAGTAAGGGATGTGATAAAATAAATGAAGACATAGACTCATTAAAGACCCAGAACTCGAGGTTGATTGCTAGAATAAATGACCTAGAGAGTCGTTCGCGGCGAAATAATCTCGTGTTTAGAGGACTAAAGTGGAGTGGTACACCGGATTTTTGTCAAATTATAAGGGACTTCTGTTCGGAGCATTTTGGAACTGATAAGTCTAAGTTATGGGTCAATCGCGCACACCCCTTGGGGAGGGACGGTAAAGCCATTATAGCGCATTTTCCGGACGACTATGACCTTGAATACATAATGGCTCATGTGAGGGACCTTAAAGGCACCAGGTACGTGGTCCATCGAGACTTGACTCGGGAAGTTAGAGCGAAACGCGCCTATCTAGCCGAAGTCCGTACGGAAATTGAGAAAGTCTCCGGGAAGCTCAGAATGCCGATCGTCCACGACCATCTGAAGGTGGAGAACACTCGCTTCACCTGGGAGGAGAATAAATTGATGGCTGGGAGAGAAGACGGAGGGCAGAAGCTACTACACATCCTCGACAAGGACTTCACGGATTTTCTTAAGAATCTCGCTGAGAAGGGCCCTGGGAAGAGGACAGACCGCAACCCAGGTGTGAGAACAACGTACGCGGAGGCGACGAAAGTGGCGAGGGAGCAGCAGCACGTGTCGACGGCGGCGGGTACGACCAAACCGACACCGACAGTATCGCCGGTGGAGTCCATGGCTTCATCTCCAGGTGCCAAGGTCTAGGGAGTGGACGCCGATCCTGTAAGTGTCACTACTTTCAGAGCGAACAAGGAACTTAGTATATTAGCATACAATGTTTGTGGACTTAAAAATAAGCTAGAGGATAATTTATTTATAGATTTTGTCAATGAGTATGATTTAATTTTTTTACAAGAAACATTTATTAATCACGAGTAACATGATTTAGTTTTAAAAAGACTAGTTAACTTTAAGATAGATTTTAAATTTGCAGTAAGAAATGCAACACTAGGTAGACAGTCAGGTGGTATAGTTTTAGGAATAAATAAACAGTCAAAATTCTTCAATAATATTAAGTTTGAATATTTTAGAAATATAACTGCTTTTAAGTTACTGGAAGAAAACTATAATAGAGAATTTATTATTTTGCCAATTTATTTGAATTATAGCACTTGGGAAAATGATTTCGAAAATTTGTATGAAATAATCCATGGTAACAATGGTACAAATTTAATCGTAATTGGAGATCTAAACAGTCGTATTTCTAGTGAGCAAAACATTACTGAAGATACTAATATACTGACCAATGCATGCCTAAATTATGATCGAAAGTCAAAAGATACAGTTTTAAATGTAAATGGGAAAAAAATTTTAGAAATGTGTGATGATTTTGGATTACTTGTATTGAATGGGAGAACAAAGTGTGATTCTAAGGGCGAATTTACTTTCATAAATAAATTGGGAGCGTCAGTGATAGATTTAGCACTTGTTTCAATTCATTGTTTACAAATAGTTAGTGATTTTAAGATAATAGAGTACATTGGGTCAGATCACTTGCCAATACAATTAACTCTTAAGATAAGGAAAGAATTAGATTCCAGAGTCGAGGGACAAGTTTTATCTTTACTTCCAAGATTAAAGTGGACCAATTTCGATGATTTTAATTTTAAGGAAAGAATACACACTGCTGCTTTAAATTTGCAATTGGACATAGACGAGGAAAGAAATGTTAAGAGTCTCATTCAATGCATTACAGAGTCAGCTCATGTTAAACAAGTAAAGTCAAATACAAATAACTCTTTCAAGTTTGCAAGGAAACAGCCATGGTTTGACTTACAGTGCGCTAAAGCTAGGCACAATGTGTTTAAACTATTGAGAAAGTACAGAAAAAGCGATGAAATTGAGATAAAAAATGAATATATTGAGGCCAACAGATCATTTAAAAATTTACTTAAAGCAAAAAAAACTGCTTACTTTGACAATATGTATTTATCTTTGACTCAGGCTAAAGACAGTAAATGTTTATGGAAACTTATAAATAGTTTTAAGATTCAAAGTCCTAATACAGGTGGTCAAGTCAGCCCAAACGAATGGTTAGAACACTTTAAGAGTCTCTTGAACCCGCCCCTGCTGTCAGCCAATGTCTGTTATGCGCTTCCTATTATTCAAGACGACTTTCTAGATAAAGAATTTAATTTGAACGAATTAAAAACAGTTTTATTGAAAGTAAAGAATGGTAAGGCACCAGGAGCTGACGGAATACCCTACGAGTTCTTTAAAAATGGTTCAGAGTCATTTTTAGTTAAGTTGCTGAATTTTTATAACAATATTTTCAAAACTAATAAAGTACCGAAAAGTTTTAAACAATCAATTATCAATCCTCTGTTTAAGAAAGGTGATAAAAACATTGCACAAAATTATAGGGGTTTATCATTTATAGATTGCGTAGCTAAGTTATACACAAGTTTACTGCACAACAGATTAAATCTTTGGATAACAGATCATGATAAGCTGTGTGAATATCAAGCTGGTTTCAGGAGTGGCTATTCGACAATTGATAATGTTTTTATTCTTTCAAATGCTGCAAAATTGTGTCTCAGTAAAAAAAAGGGTAAATTATATACTTTTTTTGTAGATTTTACTGCAGCTTTCGATACAATAGATAGAAATGCTTTATTTTATAAGTTATCATGTCTTGGTATTTCTACGCATATGTTACGCGTTTTAATGGATTTATATAATGGCACTTCGTCAGCTGTCTGGTGTAAAGATGGAATAACAGACTACTTTGAAACAGGCCTCGGTCTAAAACAAGGAGATGTTTTGAGTCCTTTATGTTTTAACTTATTTGTAAATGACATTATAGATTCATTAAGTGGAGGCTGCATTTTTGGAGATGTTCAAATTAAGGCTTTGTTATATGCTGACGACATTGTGTTGATGGCTCCGACGGGAACCAGTCTGCAGTTAATGATAAATGACCTTGAGAGATATTGTCAACAATGGAACTTGACCGTGAATTTAAGTAAGTCAAAGATTATGGTTTTTAGGAAAGGAGGGAAACTGAGGAAAAATGACAAATGGTATTTTCGAGGTGAAAGAATCGATGTGGTTAATGATTATAAATATTTGGGAATAAACTTAAATTCTAAACTATCCTGGGGTTTGCATTTAAAACACAAGTGCAGCTCTTCAAAATTAGCAATTAACAGTATTTGGAATACATTTCTAAATAACAAAAATGTACCTTTAAGTAAAAAATTCACCATTTATTTTTCAATTGTCAGATCAACTCTTTGTTATGGGTGTCAAATATGGGGTTTATGGGAAAGTGATTATGTAGATGGGACTCTTTGTTATTTTGTAAAGAAAATTTTAGGATTGGCAAAAAATACTCCCAACTATGCATTGTATCTCGAAACTGGACTAGAAAAAGAGTACATTTATACACTCAGCATGCATGCTCGTTACATCATACATGCTCTGTCACTGCCGCCGAACCGTCTACCAAATAAATTAGCAAAGAAAATAATCAGCGAAAATATTTATTGGAGCAGAGATTGGAAGGGTCTTGGAAGTAAACATGGAATTGAATTATCCTTTGATGTGAATTCCATTGAGGATA